TTGAAATAAGCATTGCATTGTTAAAGATAAAGTCCCAGGAGGACTGACACCATGTGCTTTGCAGATTTTACTTGAGAGTGGAGTGACGTCGAATGTGAGTCATTGTTTTCATTGTTAGTTTATTGAAGAATCAAACGGCAGGCAGTGATGTGAAACAAGTGTGCCTTCAGGTTTGATTTCCTTCTGCTTGGATATTTTTCTGTCCTCTCCTTTAATGACGAACACAGTGTGACACATCCAAATGTCTGACTGGATGCAATATCTAATCTTTAAACGGCAGATTGGCAGTATTAAGGGCCTAAAAGAAATGGATTAATGAATGCACTGGGAAATATTTGTCCATTTTTCCTTGCCATGGAATTCTGCCAGACTCGGTATGTGACGATGTCCATGAACTGGAAATTATTCGTAATCAGCTTGGCCTCTAAACTACATTGGACTACGATTTGGCTGCAAGAGGGCAGAATGACGGCATCATAGTTTGGCCTCAGATCCCAAGGTCGAGGCATTTTGAGGCTGAAGCCAGCAATGCCTTCCTTACTGCAGAGAACAGAGGCGAAAATATGAGTCAATTACACAAGGCCTCATTGAAGTAAATTGGCTGTAATCACATGCCTGCGTCCACCCCAGGGCATAGAGTGGCCTAGCAGCTTTGTCATGGCTAAACTTAACTTGTTTGACTTTGAAATGGTGGGCAGTTGGCTGGACACTGAGAAATTGACATTTTTAGTGGAATTAGAAAGCCGTGGTTTAGAGGCAATTTTTTCTCCATGCTCCAGAAACATGTTGTCGCTTCACCTTTGACTCTGTACTAAAATTTCCAGAGCGTGTGATACTGTAATGCTGTGTAATCATGCAAAGTGATTGCACTGACAGGAACATAGAGCTACATTATACCTGTGATGCCTGCACATATGCAAATTTTGATATTTTTGCACAAACAAGCGTGACTTTTTGGTGACTCCCTGCATTTGTAACATCCAATTAACTAAACCTACGCAAGCTCGGCTTCTCCTGGTTATGCAGCAAAAGATGTTTTAAGGGAGCTTCAGGTTTCAGACTTGTCATTTTCTGACATGAATCACAGCTACCTGGCACAGCCCTCCATTATAACAAACCAGGCTTGCAAAGGACTCAACATACTTCATAAGAATATTTTAAAAGGTCAAGGGGTCTGCTTTATGAGCGGTCATGCTGTCATCTTGTCGACTTTAAGTGGTCTTAAAATTGACTAAATAAGAACACACCAGTGTTATTTGCTCTATATTTTGCAGAGCATCTTTGCATTATTACTCAGTTTTCATACATATAATATTCATTGTAAGTTTCAGCTTGGTTGCACAATTTCTCCAAAACTTCAGCGACAATGTGCATGAGATTTGTAAGTTACTTTGCAAGTAAGTCTTTTACTAATGTCTGAATTGGTTAACATCATACCGTATGTATTGCTAGGAGAGATCCGCTTTATCTAAAAGGAGGATATTAATCTCATGATGCTGAACAGAATCTGCTCACTTCTCTGACAGCGTATTAATATCTGTGGTGCCTTTAATCAGGCCACAAAGTCAGAGGATTATTTTAAGACCTGGCAGAACCACTGGGCCACTCCTCTCTGGATGAACCAAGATGAAAGACAGACTACCCAGCATCAGAGACAGAAAATGAGTTCATTACTGTAATTAGGCCTGTATGTCTCTTGCCTTCTCCATCTTTCCCCTCTGTACACCAGGCCTTGTGTCTTAAACACCCATAATGGCAGAGCATTGCTCCAGTTAGCAAAGGGCTGTTAGCAAAGCAGACCGCCCACCTTCCATCTGTTGCCTCCTATGTGCAGACGGCCCACAAAAGAAAGGACAGAAAACAGCCTCCTCCTTCAGGTCAGGCCGGAGCAGAAATTCTGCTGACCAAGTAACTCGAGGCACTCCCCGCTGGTGGAGGGAGCCGGGGGTTGGATATGCAGCGAGACATGGTACAACTGTGTCCATTTATCACTGTCAAACGTGAACGTGGCTAATAGAGGAAAGGAGAGGGAAACATAGACCTCCATGTTCGCTGGCCGATCGTGTCCTGTCTTTGACATGATGTAAAGGCCAGCTAACCTTGATTTGACCCCATGTAGCAACACAAACACAGACAGGCTGGGCTTTAGGTACGTAAACAGTCCCGTCTCCTGCTTTCCCCCCTTTCTTTTTACAAAATGTTCTCCAGTGAGATATAAGCCATTGACAAAATTCAACCTTCATGTTGTATATTTTTGGATGGACAGAATAATAATAATTGTCTCTGACGATGCACTTGATTGCTTTTATTGCAGATTGTATTACAGTGAACTGAACTGAGTTATTCCAAATGGCAATGTTAGAAATCAGGCTTTGATTCTTAAGGTACGTCTCTGTTGATGACCTTTACTACATCTATCTTTTCCAGAGGCTTGTTTTCAGCCAGCGTTGTGAGGTCATTCTCACTGTTTAGTTCCCATGCCGTGAGATTACTGTATGTGTTTCTTTGTTTCTCCTCTTCTCAGCCATCTGTAAAAGCCTCTGTTGGAGTGTCACCATTGGCAAAGCTGCTTCTGTAGGTGGCACATTTTTGTTGCCACTTGCTCTATTTGTGAGTGTGAAAAGACGGTCAAAAGTTGACATTATGGATTTGGTCGGCGGGCCACTGTTGTCTCTTCCATTCTGAAAATAAATCTTCTTTTCTGAATTGATCTTGACAGATCAGAGAAATGTAGTTCCAGAGATTTGGAAGTATTTGTATCAAACTATTCTTGCTCTTTATCAGCTAGTCTGACACTTAACTTTTTTAAAAGATAAAAGCATCTTTTCTAATGTTCATTTCACTGCAGCCACTACCATATTCATTTAGTCATTACTTGGAATGTGGTAGTGGCTACATTTCTCCCATGTCGGTATCTTTCTCTAAATTGTGCAGTCACCCAACACAACACATCTTTAATTCCCGTCTTAAATACAAGAATGTAACATGCATTGTTATTGTTTCATGTTCATAGACACACTGCAGCATAATGGATAAGGAAGCACTGTGCATGGTTTGGCACTGCATGTAAGTCGTTTTAACCGTTCTATTTCTACACATTTGGGTCATGCATGCAATAACCTGCATGCCAACCAAACAAGCAGAATACTTTATTGTCAAAATGCTTCCTTCCACCTCACCCTAAGTGTTTGGTTGCAGCTAATATTGATGTGGCCCACATTTTCTTCCCAAAATAGTTTCTCCTTCTCTTTAATAGTAAATGACACAGAGAAATGTAAACAGTTGTCAGGGAGCTGAAACTATTTTGTCTAAACCCATAGAGAAAGAAGCTAAAGTGGCATTAAGTTTTTTTGTTGTTGTTTTTTTTAGTTTTACTGAAGCCAATTCTAGTTACTGAGTGAAATGCTCCTGGTGATGAGGAGGGATGGCTGGGTAACTCATGTCGTTTTCACATGAATGCAGCACCAGGAGAATCGAGGCACACCATCAACCCATAAGAACAAGGAAAAAGCATTTAGGTCAATGATGGAGACTCCCCAGTCTCCCCGTCTACTTCAGTGTGGTGTGATCTTCCATGCACACGTCAGTGTTTGTGGAGAGGAGTCCAATGCCACACATTACTCACACAATCCCACTGGACCTACAGTACAACGCACCTAATAGCATGAAATGAGATCGATGCGAGGAACTTGTTTTTCCAGAAGTTGCTTGTTGCCCTTTTGGAGTTTTGCTGGCAGTTTTAGTATAACTACAGTCTATTCTACCGTCTTTACAACATGGTCTTCCACTAAGCAAAAAGGCTGACTTACCTTGTGTCTTATTTAACAAGAGTTTTCACATGTCCGACATGTAGTGGCATAACTTATGGATAACAGGGGGGTACCATGTGGGCTTGCTGCGCGTTGTAGCCGACATCCGAAATGCCCCAGAGGGAGCAATGCTGCTTTTCAGGAACAATCAAACCAATGTTTGGTTAATGAGTAAAACTGCTTAAGTTGGACCTATGTTCAATTATTTGCTTAACTCTCCATCACGTTTGCTCGTGCAATGGGAAAAACAGGAATGTGGACTATACTACAGCTTCACCTGTTGACAGTAAATGTCTCTCTCTTTAAACGTCCAAGCTAATTATCCTTTTTTCATCTTTTTTGGCAATATTTTTAAGCACAAACAACAAATATATATACAAAACAATCGGGCTATATGGATGTTGCACTGCTGCAAGTGGTTGGATCAGATATTCGTACATGTGAACATTTAACTGAACATCTGTCTCTTGTTACTGTAATTTGCTTCGCTACCATCTGTTTGGTATCGGCTGGAAGAACCAACAACAGTATACATCTGTCTTTTTATAAATCTGTAATGGCACCTTCTCCTCCCAAACACATTAATTAGTAGCATTTGGTGATACACCCTTCATAGATCTAATCCCACTCTACCTCATCATGAAGCTTTACAGCAAGATAATAGGGAAAAAGCAATTCAGACCAGCAGTGTTAATTATTTTTGCAGCTGAACTAAATGGGCATAACAACGGAGCTGCTAAATGCAAACAGCTTTTCTTATGTTTAAAATGGAATCATCTTGCTGTGTTCTAAAATACTTTTTCCCTTTTTCTTTCCTCTTTCCTTGTTTTTGTGTCACAGATCAACCTCTTCCAGCTGTCATTCTGTATCGGCGGCAGGCTGTGAGAAGAGCCTCCTCTCTGCTGTGCCTCAGTGCTTCTCAGACACTTGTCCTTGACATCCAAATACCGTGTGTTCATTGTCATGCCACCCGCCCTCAATGAGTTATGACGACGGCTGCTTCTTTGACTCAGGAAAGAGGCTCCTCCTCCGCTGACCAGGGAGCAGATCAAGTGATGTGATGAAGACGTTCCCTGAAAGTTTGCTCTTCAAGGAATCTGCCAGCAGGATATGAGTATTTTGAGCCCTTTGACAGATAAAAAATCAAACCTTGTGGGAATTGTGGGAGGCCCAGAAGAATACTCTCGAGCCATGCAGTCAGAGGAGCTATTCAGCAGAAAACTCAAGGCCTTAAATGGAAGCATGGGCCCACCGGCCTCCAGCATGCAGGTGAAGCCTGATGGTGCTGGCAAAACAAATGGTACTCCAGCCATGCCTAAAATGGGTGTCAGGGCCAGGGTGACAGAATGGCCACCGCGGAAAGATGGATGGGACGGACGACCTTCACCAAACTATCAGAGTGTGATACCAGTGTTTCAGAACGGACAGCAGGAACACGTCGTGGAAATACTGGAACAAGGTGAGGCTGTCTGTGTGGAGGTGGACTACACTGACAAATACAGTCTGAACGACTTTCTCAGCGCCTCCCCACTAAAGGGTCTCCACCCGATCCGCCAGCGCAGCAACAGTGATGTCACCATAAGCGACATTGACTCTGAGGACATCATGGACCAGAGCGCTGTCAACCCAAACACCGGGGCTTCGCTGCACCGTGAATATGGCAGCACATCTTCTATCGATCGGCAGGGTCTCAGTGGGGACGGCTTTTTCACCATGCTTAGGGGCTACAGGGTGGATAACCTGGACCATCGCAGCATACCACCGATGGGTTTCCCGGAGCTGCTGCGCTGCGATGCGTCCCTCTCTCCGAGTTTGCAGACTGCAGCCCAAATTGCCAGGGGGGAGATAGTCCACATTCCAGGCTACGATTACATAGACAGTTCTCTTCTCTACAGCCGGGAACGGGAAAAGTCCTTCATGAGGCGTCTCAAATCTGAGTCAACAGAAACGTCTCTATTCAGGAAGCTGCGGACCATAAAGAGCGAAAGCGATGCGCTGCGACTCTCCATAGAGGACGACCGTCGGCCGCTGAGCTTCCAAAAATGTTTTGCCCACTACGATGTCCAGAGCGTGCTTTTTAACATCAGTGAAGCCGTCGCAAGCAGAGCTAACCTGAGCCAGAGGAAGAATACCACCACTGGGGCCTCGGCTGCCTCAGCCGGAGTAGTGGCTGGTGTCAGTGGAGTGTCAGGAGGTGGGGCTGGACTTGGGGCTGGACTTGGGGCTGGACTTGGGGCTGGACTTGGGGCTGGGGCAGATGGCGGGGCAGCAGGTTGCAGTAGTGGAAACCTCCCCATGTTTGAGTCTCCTCTTGGCAGCAGGGAAGACTTAAACCCCAAAGAGAACCTGGATGCTGATGAGGGGGACGGAAAGAGTAGCGGCCTAGTGCTGAGCTGCCCGCATTTTCGCAATGAGATCGGTGGTGAAGGCGAGAGGAAGATCTCCCTCTCCAGAGTCAACAGTGCCAACTACAGTGGTGTTTCAGAGAGCTGCTCCTTTGAGTCATCTCTCAGCTCACATTGTACCAACGCAGGTGTCTCTGTACTGGAGGTGCCTAGAGAAAACCAGCCGATCCACAGGGAGAAGGTCAAACGCTACATCATCGAGCACATTGACCTCGGTGCATACTACTATCATAAGTACTTCTATGGGAGAGGTAAGGAACTCCTATTATATATACTTTTGATTATTTTTGGAGCTTACAGATTTTCAACTGTGATGGTGCAAAGGGATTTGAGTGACTGTGTTGAGGATTATTAAGCTGCCTCAGCCAACTCCATTTCCTTGAAACATAACTCTTCCAAAGTTCTCAAATGGAACAGCCACAGCTCATAAGGTCAAATATCTTGTCGGCTCAGTTATTTTCTTAGGACCGTATGAAATGAGGTTCAGAACAATAGCAGGCTTGTGTTGGGTGCAAGGGTGTGCGTTACACTGTCTTAACAGAGGAGTGGCCGCATCCTCTGTGGGATATTACCCTGACCCCTGCAGAGAGAATACGATTAGTCATGTGAGAAGAGAGAGGTGTTCGAGAGGGTGTGTCGCAGCTGTTCCCCGTGGGGACCAAAAGGGTGTGAGGACTTCTCATATGAAGCTCTAGGGGTCAACAGAACTACGCCAAGGTCCCAGCTTTCCTCATTAAAACACCTACATGACTGAAGTTGGAAATACCAAGCTGACCCCGACCCATCGCCATCTTCCACATATCTGTTTTTCCCACTGTCTGTTATGCTGCTCTCAGCAGATTGAATTTCCCCCACTTAAGCTCTCCCTCTAGAAAACAGCTGCTTCACCTTTCGCACTTAGATGTCTGAGCGTCTTCGAAAAAAGTTCTCTGTACGTTGCGCGGCTTACTCGGATAATCATTTGCATGCAGCCTCTTGCATTGCTCATCCTAAAACAGCCACAGCTGTTACATCTCTTCGTTTACTGTCGTATAGACCACTCTATAATCCCCTGCCTAGCTGTCAGCTTCAGCAGTCCTGCTATAGCCTATGCGGTTGATGTCTTGTTTTTTCTCGGCATGCGGCTGTCGCCCCTTGCCCCTTTTTTTTTTAGGTGTTTTATTGAATGGACAAGCCTGTCATCACCTGCACTTGACCACAAACATGCACTCTCACAAACAAGGCCACGTGTCACCACTTTACGGCAGGCTTTTACCAACCTGGGCTAGGCATTGATCTCATTGACTGAAAACAGCTCCTCCTCCCTTAGCAACCGGAGTGTCTCTCCCCAGGCTGTCCTAATGGACGCAACATTTTTGCCAGGGGATTGAGCTTTGCTATATGCAGGTCAGGATCACATATTATCTGTGGATAGACACCAAAACGGTGTGAAGTAGAACTTGTGCCTAGTGGAGATATGTGATTTGAAACAAAGAGAATAAAAGAGCATTGGATGTCGATAGGCTGGGCATGTTAAGATTTTAAAGATCTAAATGTAGAGACTTTAAATGCATTCTACTGCCTTTGGTGTTCAGAGGACAGGAAATAGGTTTTGACATGAGCATCAAAGTGAGCCATTTTACAACCTTTTTCAAATAGTCGGCTCCATGTAATGTGTGAGTGCCAGTGACAAGATGTAGAAGTGTGTTGACAAAAAGATTTCCTCTGCAGATAACACTGTCTCTTTCACTGTGCTGTTCCTGTTTGGATGCCTTGTGGCCCCTTACACTACACTGCACCCCTACCACCATTTGACCTTATGCATCATGGAGTATCCCCCCCCCAGTCCACTGTTTCTGACAAGCCACGCATTCGTATGTAAACCCAGCTCTAGCTCCATGCAATTAATCTGTCATCCATGTCGGTAGGTGACAGGTTGATGCCACAATGACAAGAATCAACTTCTTTCCAGTAAAAGCACATCATGGAATAAAAGCCAAATCTGATCTCCTGCAAAAAACAAATCTGGATTTCAGTGCTGTAGCTTACTGCCGAGACTTGGGTTTTGCTGTCTGAAGCGTCCAGCTCTTTTTCCGCGGCTTTTGGCTGGATTAGAGATTGTTTGCTCAAGACACTGCAAAGCGTGTGCAAAGCTATGCTCCTGTTCATGTTATGAATGGACACACAGGCACACACACTCCTATTGAATCTAACACACTTTATATAAACGTGAAATAGGTTTGGTTTCTTGTTAGTATTACAATATGAAGTCAGAGGCTGATTGAAAGTTCCATTATATCACACTAAGAGATTAAAAGATAGCTGACTTATGTCAGCGGAGAAGAAACATTTTCCCTTGTCTGGTAGCACCGAGTTGTTGACCATTTAGAGGATTGACAATGTCACCTTTAAGACTCTTGACATCTAAGCTATTCTAGCCTGCTGTAGATCAGTGGGGTCACAAATACATATTATGCTTCAAGGATTGTACTTTTTACTGGCTAAACTAGATGGAATATCAGACTGACCTGCTTTATAACCTGTTGTTGAAATATTGGATGTTCTGTCCATAATCCTTTGACCCCGCCTGATGCTTTAGTTACATACCATCTCTGTTTTGTTTTTAAAACAGTTTTTTTACAATTTGCTTGATGCTTAATCCTGTTTAGGGTTGCAGGGGATGGGAGTTTAAGCCTACCTCAGCTTGTTTAAAGATGGGCGGGGAGGAGAGGTGCACCTAATGGCAGTCCATTACAGACAGAGAAGACAGACAGCCATAAGAATTTTGAATCCCAGATAAATCCTTACATGCATCTCTTTTTGCTCGTGGTGGATAACCAGAGCACCACAAGCAGAGAATGAATGCCCCAATTCACTTACAGGTTAAAACGCACAACCCACTTTTTCTTCTGGTGCTGGTGTGGGATGTCTTATCACTCCAGCAGCCTCTCTGATCTGATAATAGCCCCAACCACAATCCCCTAAAATGTTAGGTTACTACTCAACATGAGGACAGAAACATTCTTAATCAAACATGCTTAAACAAAAACAACACTGCATACCATGTAACTACTACATCCTCAAGCTTCAATTTAGTTTGGGAACTTAAAGAGAAACTTATTTTCGGAGTTTGAATGATCTCTTTTGGGATCTGTGTTGTGAAACTTTTTGCACCACTTCAGAAACAAGTGGCCCTTTGAATTTGTGCATAGTTAAAGATATAAGTCCATTTTTGATGGTGATATGAGATGAAATTGCTGATTCGTCCAGCGACGTTATCTGCACAGTTTTTTAGGAAGTATGGTAGGATATTTGGGGTATTTAGGTCAGAATCAGCCCAAAAAATTTTAAGCCTGTATTTGTATTCTATTTCTGTTTTAAATCCCAGTCCTGTGTCCATAAGCCAGAGCCCCTGGGTCTTAATCCGAGTGAATCACTTTTGACATCTATTTCATAGCCACACGGCTCTCTGTAATCAGCGTCGCAGCCCAACCGCTGTCAATGCCCAACACATTTTCTGTGATCAAGTCAAAATTCAGATTCAGAGAAATAAACGATGACAGTGATTTGCTGATATTTTAACAGATATATGCTATTAAGTTATGAACGTATGTGTCTGTTGAAGAATAACGTCCACAAGAGTAACCTATGTTTTAATCAGTTTTTCCACTTATGTGACTTCTGCTGTCACGTGAATGTGATCCTTAATGCACTTCTAAGTTGAGACTCTCTTGCACTTCCAGAGCATCAGAACTATTTTGGGGTTGATGAAAACCTGGGACCCGTGGCAGTAAGCATCCGCAGGGAGAGGCTGGACGATGGAAAAGAAAAAGAAGGAATGCAGTACAACCACCGGGTCACCTTCAGAACCAGCCAGGTAACTGGGGTCCTTTTAACAGAGCCTCTTCAAAGTTGGTATGCCCATGAACAAGCAGCAGACATCATCACGGGTGTTTGATCGCTATGCAAATGTGTGTCTGGGTGAGCCGGAGCATGCCAGCATTCTGCCGCACTGTCTCTGTTTGCTCCGCGCGATTGGATGAAGATAAGCAACGGGTGTTGGTGTGTTTTTCTGTGTTAGAACACTGTTGCGAGGGACCTCTGTTGGAAAAAGAAGCAACATAGTGGGATTGTGCAAACTAGATAACAGTACAGCTGTTACACCTGTGATTCCAGCTCGAACTGGTGCAGCAATAACTTATATTACAAGGACAATCTGCTTTCGGCATTAAAAAAGGATCTTACTTTTCACTCTAAAACAATCTTTAAATCAGTTTGAACACCAATATTTCTTCAAAATGACACATTAAGGTCGTTTAGCTTTGGGCTGAGCTGCAAGCAGTACATGCAGATCTGCCCTGACCACTGTAATGTGTCCAGCTATTCTGGCCTGTCATAACTACTAGACTTTGTGTGAGCGTCCCCGCTTCTTCATTCTCTCACACGAGCATGCGAATATGCACTCACAATATAATTAATCCAAAAACTGAGGAGCGCAGTCTGGGCGTCCCTGGTGTACTGAAAGCTTTCCTTGATTGATGCTGGTTGGTCTCATTCACTGAATAATTCAGGTGCAACAGATGTGTCAGGCTGGGAAATGTCACTGATATCCAGTGCTGTTCTTAGTTTAAAGCGCCACTCCCATGATAAAACAATGTATCTGGGTCATGGTAGCCCTGCAAGTTGCATGCAGACAGTGTATTAGCTTGTTTTAGCTGGAGCGTCTGTTTGCGTTTGCTTCTCTCAGTTTAGCCTCAGTGCCCTCTCCGCCTCTCAGCCCACTCCCTCTCCCTTCCTCACTAAGTCTGTTAAGTAATCTGCTTTTCAGAGAGTCTCTCCGTCAGACAGCCATTGACTGCTGACACTCATGTCCACAGGCTGTGAGGATGGAAATGGGATTTATGGGTGTGAAAGTGTCTTTGATGTTCCAAACAACAACACGGATTTAGAGTACCAAAGCTGTAGGTTTTATAGGCACATTAATGGCCTTAAAAGTGAAAAAGCACCGAGTATATACTGCTCAGTTAGCTTGTGTTAATTATTCAGGCTTTGACATCCTAATGCAGTCCAGAGGCGAAGTAATGGAGCAATTGCAGTGAACAATAAAGTGGCATGCGAGCGAGCACAACGGGACCAAACCCCAACACACTTTGCAGGCAGGGCTGCGTATGACTCACTGCTGGCTGAGCCAATGTTGACTATCTGTCTTTCTTGACAGCTTACCACCCTCCGTGGAGCCATCCTTGAAGATGCCATTCCTTCCACGGCAAGACACGGAACGGCCCGCGGGCTTCCGCTTAAGGAAGTGCTTGAGTATGTCATCCCTGAGCTGAATATTCAGTGTCTGAGGCTGGCCCTCAACTCTCCCAAAGTCCCAGAACAGCTCCTCAAACTGGATGAGCAAGGGGTGAGTACGCTGATGTCTTCTTGTGCTCAAGGTCCTGAGACCTACAGCAGACTACCCCTGATGATGACTTTAATAAGCTCAGACAGATCTGTGGATAAGAGTTTGGATGTGTCGAATGAAAAGGGACTTCAGCTCAACTCTGAAGAACTCCAGGAAATGAATGCTTTCACACAGAAAACAGTGCATCCCAAAACCAGCTCACGACACGTCAACTGATTTGTTTCCCTTTTTCTTCTGTTCAACAACACCAGGTGTCTCCAAACCTGGTCCTCGTGGGCCGTTGCTACAGGGGCTGAAACATAGAGATTCTAAAAATGTCTTGACTGTTCTTTAATAGAAGGGGAGAAATGATTGCTTATTCGCTCTACTGATTTTTTAAATCTGATTATCAGTGTTAGATGTAATGTTCTTAATTAAAATTATGATTATCTAAACGTATATCAAGTCTTGGAAAAAAAAATGATTGTTAGTTAGCAGGAACCTTTAGTCTAAGCACAGGCTTCCTTAAGTGGGTATAAGAGAATATCGCACTTGATAAAATCAATCCCACTCTCACTGTAGCCAGTAAAAAGTCATTTCTGACAAACCCTGGATAAAGTGACATGCTCTTTACAGCTTACTTCATGTGAGCGCAGGTGTTTTAGTATTCTTCTTAGGTGGAGGAGAGTGTCATCTTGCGTTATCTCTGTCAGAATGGAATTGCTATTAGTGACCGAGGCTCTCTTCATTCTCAGGTGTCACAGAGATTTGCCGCGTGATCTCCAGGTTTTTCAAGTCTGATCCAATAAAACTGCAAGATGGCAAGGAGAGTGGAGGGATTAGGCAGTGGTGAATTGCTTGTTTTACGATCAGATAATCGGATGCTTATTAGTTTAATTATATTCGTTAGCATGAGCATATCCTTCTAGCTGACAAGGGAAAGGCTCTTATAATGGAAAATGTCATCCATGCCCCCCTCGGTATAAGATTTGATTAGACACTTAAACAAGAGCGGTTGAGTGTTCTCTTAAAACAAAGTTATATACAATCAAGTTGGCCTGTTTCATATGTCCAGTATTGGAGCAAATAACAAAAGAAACCTTAAGAGATTTTCTTTCAACCACATTAAAGAGCTGATAGTTGGACGTCTGCATTCCTTTGTCAGTGAAAAACAATGTATGCCGATACTTACTACCGTAAGACTGAAACTGACACGTACAGTGGGAGGAAGAAGAAAGCAATATGATGCTTTTAAAAAGTACTTTTAAAGGAGGAAAGGCCAGGCTAAGTGGGACTTAAAGCTCTTCCAGCTCTCCCTCCTCACAAACCTCAAACCAAATGTACAGTGGAGCCAGATTTATATTAGGACGTCAGTGTTTTTAACACTCCTGTTTTAATCATTAATGTAATGCTTTCTGTGCAAAGGTTTGATATATAAAACACCCCCTTAGTCTTTTAATTTAACCAAGCTGGACCCGCTCATGTGTTTATATGGGGAAGCTTGCATTACATAGCAACAGCTGCCGTGACGTGATCACGCCTTGCCCGTTTTTGTTTATTCCAGTTCGTAATGTTCACTGTGTAGAGAACCTAATACTTTCTGTGTGTGCACATGATTCAATATATGTTAGCTTTTATTTTTGGGCTTGAGTGTAGCTGTGTGCTAAAGGCCGTGTTGTGCTGCGAACAAATAGCAGGCAGAGTGAGTGAGAGTATCCTGGACTGAGACAGCATTTATAATATCATGATCAAATAGAAAATCCCTTATAGCAGGGTTGTGGTCTTTACAGTAATGGCCCTCGAAGCAGCATAAGAGAATGGAACATTATGTGGGTGCCCTTTAGATCATACTGATCACAATGACAGCATTGAATGTGTGCAGATGGGCTGCAAAAACAGGAGATTGATCGGATTCTGAGATATGATTTTCAAATTTGGAAATAGCTTTTCTTTCCCTTCGAAACTTGCTGGTATTAGATGCACATTTGACATTCAATGGTCTCCTTACTTTTTGATGAAAACAGTTAATCGGGTTCAGATTTAGAACATAAGCTACCACTTTTGTAAACTTTGGAAAAAGGATAAAGATTGGCCTGCAGGAGAATGTGTAACGGAAAACAATGCAATAATAATGAGCGTTAAAAATCGTTAGAGCCACAGAAGGGTTCATTTAATTTTGACATTAAATGTGAACAGTTTGCCTTTCCTAGCCTAGAAAACGGATCTCACTGCGATGCTTTTATTTAAAAAGGTAAAACTATAAGTGGAATATTTTTAAAGGTAAAAAGCACTGCTTTTTTTAGGCCTGATTAAAACTTCTTTTTAAAAAAAGCCTGTTCAGGCCATAAAGCACTGCAGATGCCCACAGCGACACAATTCAAGTCTAGGATAATAAAGTATAATAAAGCTTAAATTTGATTTGTTCTGCAAGTTGAAGAGAGCAATCTACCACCCACTGAGGCTGTTATACAGGAGAAGAAAAATAGCCTCTTATATGTTTAAAGGAAAATTCAGTGACCAGAGTCACTGGTCACTCTTTTTGATATTGTGGCTGCAGAACTAGAGTGCTTAGGGCCATAAACTTTAGTCCATACACCATTTATCTTTTTTTTTTTTTTTGCAGAGGTTGGTTTATACCAATCACAGGCTGAGCACAGCTTAAGAGACATCACTCAAATCACCCCACCATGCCAAACCTAATCTTAATGTTTTATCACAAACCAGATCTCAATATAATGAAGTTGGTGTTGACTGGAATGTAGATTTGATGTTGAATCAAAAGTTTGTCCGATCAGCGTAGCTCTCTCTTCATCAGAGAGCACTACCAAACCGCAGACTGATCTCACGTTGGTGATGTGTGTTGGTTTAGGATATTGCAACAATCCTCAACAATCCTTCAAATCCTCCTTAGAGCTCTCCGAAGGGAATCTTGCCCTAAGTTCGGAAGTTTCTTTCCATATGAGACATCTTGTCTTTGTCATCTTATAGATTTGGAGATAATGTAGTAGGGTCGTTGGAAAAAGTAAGGAAACTATCTGTTTGCATTGTAAGAAGTAGCAGGAAAAATAAGGAGCATGTTCTGGGAGACCAGATCAGCAAGTGAAGACATGGATGTCCCTGTATTGATCACTTTACCTCAGAAGTGCTACTTATCTGTAGATGTTGTTTCCTGATGGGTTTGCACTTTTCAAGCAGAGACAAATTTACACAGACAATAAAAGGGCAATGGAATTGTCCTGGCCATTGGCCAGTCTGTTTATGAGAGCAGGAGGTCAAGTGTGTCCACATAATTCCAGATTTTAAAAAAAGAGTACCACATCATTGCACATCATTGCCGGTTCCATTGGTCTTGATGGTATAATATGTCTGCATCACCACAGGAGCTTCAGTGTGGAGCAGACTGCCTGATACAAGAGTCACCATGACAACAGTGTCAGGAGCACACAGAGAACTGATAACCTGTGGCAGGGGAAAGGACATTTCCAATTTGTCCCGGTTTATTGCCCATTCGTTGGTTTTAACATTCAGGGAAACCTTTTTGTCTTGTTGTTGGACACATTACCCCCCGTGATCCAGCTGTAAATATAACAACAGGTTCCAGTATAGATCTGTTCCTTCGTCTGTTTCTTTTTTTATTATTATTTCTCTCATATGGTATCAGAAAGCCGCAAGATACAAAGATTCATGTTAGTGAGGATGGATGTCTCCATATCCGTGCAAAAAGAATCACTCCAGATGTTTCCTGTGTCTTTAGAGGACCAGGTTATTGTTAAACCTTGGGGTGAAAATCTGGCAGTCTTTGTCTGGCTGTCCTTAGCCAATGAATATTCCTTTTTGTTGAATAAAGATGTCTTCGATGTACATCTCGTCTACGATGACTAAATAAACACTTTTTATTAGTGGTGTACAGCTGCTTGTCTGTTTCCTATTGGAATTACTTGGCAGACAAAAGTAATGTTTGAGAATGAGGTATTTAAGAAATAATTACAATTCTATTGCTGGCAGCTTTAAACCATTTTTCCGCCATTATCCAACACATATTTTGGCTGTACATCTCTCAGTCACTCCCTCTTAGCTCAGGAGCTGCTCTTAAGTAGCAGTTAATAGCTTGGTTTGGTTTATGTTCTGCTCAGGGCTCATGAGAGTTCATACCACTGCTTCACAAAAGGGGATTTCAGCTCTGACAGGGGTTATGAAGGCCTTCACATTAACTGTGACATGATGGAAAGTAGGTGCTAGCATGGTTTGAGTGCATAATGTACAGCATGTATGAGTGTGGCGTGGAATATATCTCAGCAACAGGAAATGATACATACTCACGGAGTGCCTGTGTATTTTCCTTGTTCCAGCTAAGCTTCCAGCACAAGGTGGGGGTGCTTTACTGCAAGGCGGGCCAAAGCACAGAGGAAGAGATGTACAATAACGAGAGTGCCGGACCAGCCCTGGATGAGTTTTTGGATCTGCTTGGTCAGAGGGTGCGTCTCAAAGGCTTCACCAAGTACAGAGCTCAACTGGATAACAAGAGTAAGCTCAAGCAATCATCTCATGCGCACCAACCTGAACATTACTGGCCCACACATCTTTAATCTTGCTGACTAGAGACTCTTTTTTATCCCTTTTGTAGGGGGCTCTGATTTTTTTTGTCTAGTCTGTGTTTTCTTAATCTGGATTTCTCTTTGATCTATCCATCAGATTATTTGCACATGAGTGTCTTTTGTAATGAAGCATAAGTCATTGACTGTCCTGTTCTGTTACAGCCGACTCCACGGGCACGTATTCTCTTTACACGACCTACAAGGATTACGAGTTGATGTTTCATGTTTCCACTATGCTCCCGCACACACCCAACAACCGACAACAGGTAAACTGCGCATTGACGGCAGGCCACTATGTCTACAGTTTTTTTTTCTGTTCTTTTTTTTCAAATGTTCGACTGCTTTCTAATGGGTATAAAAATCCCAGAGCAGCTTCCTTTTTGGATATCTCCAATTTCGACTGCTATTGGTCTTCCTCAAAGGCTCACTTTGCCACGGTAATGACCCATCACTTAGAAGCATGAGCATTACCATGGTAACGGTTCCCCTAAGTAGAATTTTAATCAATGCATCCCCAGGGGCTGGACCCGGCGTGATATTAGATGGGCCTGTGCGTCATGTCTGTCCATGTGAACAAGTAGACTTAAGTGGATGTGGGGGTTCGATGGGTGAACAATGGGCCAATAAAGCTGAAATTACAGCGTGTTTTTCTCTGCAGTACACGTGTGGCAGTGTTTTTGACCCCAATGATAAAAACCTGCAGTAAAAGCATTAACTCCCAATACAATAAAGCTGATGAGAATTGATGAGGTGAGACAGGGCATGATCCATAGCTACCCTCAACTGTCCAGTCTATGGAGAGCACCTCAAACCTGTGATTGGCAGCTTTTGTATGCAGGGGGTCCCTTTCTCTATTATACTTGGACTGTATTTCATGAAGTGGGATAGATTAATCCCTGGTGGTAATCTTCCAGCAGGCTCCACTCATCCCTTCATCCTTTTCAATTTACCTCTGGTCCTTTTAATCCTGCTTGTTTTTTACTCTTTCTGACCTTCAGAAGCTACCTAGCTCCAGACAGAATAATGATGTGAAGTATTGGCACAGTCAAACAATACACGCAGTATAAATTGGGTTGAGGAGAATATGTGTCTTTGGCTAAAAGAAATCCCCCAGGGATCAGTGATTATTGTCTTCCACCCTAAAAGCTTGTGATCTTCATCACTTGGCAGTCTACATATATGGAGCAATGACCCTTACAGCTAAACCAAAACTATACTATCAAATAAAAATAAGTCATTTCCATTTGCAATTAATTTTCTAAAAATGTCCTTGTGCAAGTACTAATGCAAAGCTTAATATAGCTGTGTTGTTCAGTAGCGTTGTATCACTGCTGGGCCAGTCTGCTATTCTTTTTTCACTCATCTGCTTTGCTACATTATCTTGAAAAACCCATATGCTCTCATTCCAATCTTATTCTCAAATAAAAGATTTGTCTCTCAGTCTTTCCATATAGAACTGTCTTCCTGCATTCACCCTGTCCGTGATGCGTTTTCTCCTGTTTGATTCTGTTCCCCCCTCTCTTTTTTTTTCTAGTTATTGAGAAAAAGGCATATTGGCAACGACATCGTCACCATAGTATTCCAGGAGCCTGGGGCCCTTCCTTTCACTCCAAAAAACATCCGCTCTCATTTCCAACATGTGTTTGTCATCGTCAAAGTCCACAACCCCTGTACTGATAACGTCTGCTACAGGTAAATGGTACAAGCTTTCACCCTGACCGCAAAGCTCGCTTAAACTGTTGTACTTATTCTGTCAAAGAAAAGAAGCATAGAAAAGCGAGCAAACACTGCACTTAGTCAAAATCATGCATAGGGAACAAGCTAACGTTCTCATGAAAACTAGGAATGCTTTCGTCATTTGATGTGCTCTGACTAAATATCCTCATGCCAAACGGCTCCACGTGAACTTCTAAGTCCCGTTTTGAACGAGTGGTAATAATAGCTTGCTGGATTCATTCTGTGGTTTCTGTCATGACTTCTGAGATTTATGCGGGAATCACAAAGCCTCTTTTGATCTGTTCACTGATGATACGGTTATTATCTTCAGAGACACCTTGAAATTATGACTTACAGCTTTATCCTCGGGTGTTTAAATCAAGACAACTTTTGCTAATAACATAGGTTTTTTTTTAATAGAGCAAGATTAGCCTGAGCTCCCCCCGTCTCATCAGAAATAATTTTCTTGAGAACCCTATCATTTTAACACTCAAATGGCTGCTTATCATGCACACGGTTCAATACCTATCCACTTATTCTGACTTTTTAACTCACTGCTACATAAGTGTATTGATCCCTCTGAATTTTTTTCCACAGTGTGGCTGTATCCAGATCAAAAGACGTGCCTCCATTTGGCCCCCCTATTCCCAAGTCCGTAACTTTCCCGAAGTCTGCAGTTTTCAGGGACTTCCTGCTCGCCAAGGTCATCAATGGCGAGAACGCCGCCCACAAGTCTGAGAAGTTTCGGGCCATGGCGACTCGCACGCGGCAGGAATACTTGAAGGACCTCGCTGAGAACTTTGTGAGCACGGCGACTGTGGACTCTGCTGTGAAATTCAGTTTCATTAACCTCGGAGCTAAGAAGAAGGAGAAAGTTAAACCAAGGAAGGACGCACACCTGCTGAGTGTGGGAGCCATCACCTGGAGCGTGTGTGCCAGGGACTTTGGCCAGTCGATGGATGTGGACTGCTTGCTAGGCATATCCAATGAGTTCATTGTGCTCATCGAAGAGGAGTCCAAAAACGTGGTGTTCAACTGTTCGTGTCGCGACGTCATCGGATGGACTTCGGGGATTATGAGCATTAAGATCTTCTATGAGCGCGGGGAGTGTATCATGCTGTCTGCGCACGACAGCTGTGGAGAAGATATACGGGAGATGGTGCAAAGACTAGAGGTAAGACCCTTAAAGGCTTTATTGCAATAATCTCTGTCATTTTAGAGGTCTTAATGAGTGCTGGATGAGACTACTGAGGTATCTGACCCTTCTAGCGTATTCTAATCCTTCATCTACACTATAAGTCTTAAATCTAAGCTTGCAGACATTTCAGAGAACAGTCAGATTGAGATTACACAGCTTTTAAAATATGGCATCTCTCTCAAAGAAGGAGTAAATTGTTCTGCATTCACTCTGTCCGTGTGCTAATTGTGGCTTACTTCCTTGGTTTGACGTCCAACTGGGCCTTCCACCACTGTTTTGCCATATCGTTGTGGTTTGGCAGATGTGCAACCCAAGTACTAATACTGAAATGGAAGAAAACCAAACCTGATCTTAAAGATTAACATGAAGATTCGCACTGAGAACCTTTGGGATCCAAAATAAAACAACAAAACACTTTAAAGACACTTTGTTCACAGTAGGTTAAATGAATTAATACAACATACACCTTTAAATCTAAACCCGGCTGTGCGTCTTCGTAAATGACTTCTTAGGTGTTCTTTTTATTCTGCATTGCCATGGCGACATAATGGTTGAGTTGATGGTTGGCCCCTCATTTTCCAGTCACTTGTCGGAGCTGTGAATCACACATAACTAATCAAAAGTCTATTCCTGAGCATAAATGTTAAAAACCCAACAAGATACAATATTTAGGACTTGCTGTAAATCAGAGTAAGTAAAGCAATAGGTCATCAGAGCGACGTCTTTCTCAGGGCTTCTTGGCAGATGATGCGATACGGCTGCCTTTACTTTCTGCGGTTTTGCTTTGGAAAAACTGTGGTCTCTCTGTGGTGAGACTATGCATATTCCAAATATTGCTCTTGCCATTGTAGCCCACCGCAAACCTTGTTTAATTTTCATCGTTAGGTCAGCAAAACCGTTGGTCGTTAAACCCACATCAGTCCTGTAAAGTCTCACATTCTGCAGCTCACTCGGAGCTTCCGCTGCTTCTTTTATAGCCATTTTCCTCAACAGCTCCCTGAACAGTTGAACACGCTCGTCCTACTTCTGAGAGGATTGAAGAATTCCTTTTGATCGCTTTTTTTATAGCGGTGTCCCGTGAAGTCAGCCATCTCCGAGTCAGAGGTTGATGAGGATAAATCATTATGAGATACGACAACATTTTCATCAAAAAAGGAAACTAAAGCCGCAACCGTTTCCTGTAGCAGGCAGTTAATGGAATGGAATGAAAGATTAGTGGTGCTCTTTTTTTCCATATCATTACGTTGAGGAATTAAGATATTTGAATGCAGGTGCAGTAGAAGCTGGTTTAAACAGGACGCCAACCCTATTTTTTAAAGGGCTTGACAGACTAATAATAGAGGACACTTGGCCTCAGTTTCTACTTTTTTGGAGAAATGGCAAGATGTTTGTGATTTCCAGGCTAGATGTTTCAGGTTAGATGCATAAAAACTGGCCTCCTAGCCTCCCTCCAATCAAGATTAGGCTTCTTACATGTATCATTATAGCTCTCTTTTTTTCTATTCTTTTCTATGACCCGCTTTACTGAATCTCTTATCAGATGGGCTAGTGTTATCTTTAATTAACAATAAAACAAATTACCATTATTATTAGTCCCTGACTGTATGCTTCTACACACGTATCCTTCATGGTGCTTTTCTGGACGCTGAATTACGAGCATCAAAATGTCAGAATGTGTGACATGTGGATAACAAACATAGAAGTGAGCTCAATACTTTACTAGAAACCTGAACGAGTTTCACTAAAAGGCTCTTTAAGGAATCTCATGAGGAAGAGATTCATTATCACCTTAAGCAGTGAAGTCACAAGAACAGAGGAACGTATTTATTAGAACGGGTTTGTTAAAAAATGCATATCTACTAACCACGTAAAATAGAGAAAAATCCATAAGAACATGAAGAATTATTTTCCATGATTAATCTTGACAGAGCAGAGATGCCATTCAGTGTGTTTCTGCTGCTCCACTCATCATAAGAAAGAACAGCAGGGTATATTAGCATTTGCGATCAGCCAGAGGACTTCACTTCCTCATTTGCTATGCTAATCTCCCTTCACACTTACTTTCGACTTATCCCCGCATCTGGGAGGCACAGCTTTCAGTAAAAACCCTGAAAAAAAGTTTTCGAAAAAATAATGATAAGAAATAAAAATAGAAAGCAGAGCAACAGCAGCAGTTGGCACATTGGTTTATGAGCTGACCAGGCAGACTTTGTCCCAAAGGTGTCTGTAAATGTCCCAGAGGTTGACTCGAATCATGTTTCACTGGGTGGATTTACAGGCTGCCCGACTTGTGATGTAATGTGAACCAGAGTGAACAGATTGCCAACTGTAACATACAGAGGAGCCCAGTGTGAAAGCACAGCTAAAAGCTTTGTGGAGACATCTTGTCCTCCAGGGTGTTGCTTAGCTGGGTGGCCACATGTTTGGCTTTTATTAGCCAAGGCCTGAGTCAATGTGAGCTAAATTATCATTCTAATTTGTTTTCTTTTTTGTTGATCACAAAGCTGTAAACGAAGGGTAAGGAAAACTGAAAACTAGATTTAGTTTTTTGTCTTAGCTTTCATCTGATATAAATGAATTATACTTAAGCAGCTGAAAAGATATTTTTTTTTGACAGAGTAGTTGATTTTTTTTAACCCTTTATTATTTGTTTTTCTTAAATTTCTAGAATTTCTCTTTGCTGGCACATACAAGACAAGCAGCATATTTGTAAGATTAAGAGATGATATAGAACAACAATATAACAGGTATATTTGTTTAGCAAGCACCTGTTAATTTGTAAACCAAGTAATCAATATTAAACAGCTCTATTTTGGGATCCTATGTCTCTACAGACGTTACTTTCTGCTGTCTACTGAGCTGCTCTTACCCTCAAAATCCTGCTTTATCACATTAGTAGTTGCTACTCTAGACATTCATATATTAATGAATATTAGACACAAAAATACAGCCCTCAGGGAGCAACTGGCCTGAGATTGACTCATTCACATGGGCTGGCTTTTAGTTTTTTGAAGATCGCTGGAATCGCTGGTTTAATCGTGTCTTTGAAATTTGCTTCTGCAAATGGTGTCATCGCTATCAAAACTGTGTTTGTCAGACTTCTCCTTGAAGATCACAATCACCATCACTTGATAACAGATTTAAATCTAATCATGTTTTTTTTTTTTCTTCCTCTTGAAGAAGTCTAATGTCACTGAGGATTACAGCCTACTCTTTTGTCTGGCGTTATAGGCATTATGGCCATTGTAGAGTTCAGCCTTTCAAGCACATTACCTCCAAAGTTTCACTCAGAATAGTTTAGTTTGGGTAAATGCATTGTTTTTCTCCCTTAGGTTTTTTTTTTATATAAAATGGGAACCATCTGGATTACGTTTGACCTTTTCTGTGTTAACTTGTTTAAGTTCTGGCCCTGTAATGGTGCATCGTTGTTACCTTCAGGTCTGGTGTCCCACACCAGTTTAGGATTTCTGCCGCAGTAAGAGTCAGCCGGAGTGTTGACGATCCATAGTCTGTGTTAATGTGTCACTGCAGCCAGCTGCCACTCTAAAGCAAATGGAGGCAGTCACCCTTAACTGAACCAAAACTAATCTGATGGTTGATTACAGCTCATTGGATGCAGTGGGACTTTTTTTTTTCCTGCAGTGGTTGTCACGAAACTATTTTGCAGGAAAATGTGTAATCCTGCCATACATTTGCTCAGTAATTGAGCTTACAGACCAAGTCTTTAGGTGTACCCAATACATAATTTCTTTCCTCACTTTTGTTTTGAGTATACTTTTTTATATATTTTTTACTGCTAAAAAAAGCAGGTTGCCTGAACTTAGTGTGACCTGGAATGCATTAAAGCAAAGGCTAATGCTAGGCCACTTCTGAGCAAAGCCAGCAACTTAATATACACTCAAGTGCATGATTGAATGGGAACCAACTGTGAGTTGCATCCAGGCATGAAGCAACTCAGACTGAGTCTGCCAAACCAAAAAAATCCATCTGTGAAGTGTCAAATCTTTGTCTGCATTCTCAAAAAATATACACAAAAAACACGGTGAAGAAAATCAACTTTACATGCGGTATAAAATCAAGGCAATTTATTCAGAGGATAAATTTGTTTATAAAAAAGAAATAGCACCTTCTTGACATGAACTCTGTCTTATGGACTCCGTGGAGATGTTCACATCTCAGCTGCCAATTAGATTCTCATTCATGCAGCATGGACCCCATGTAGCATCCACTGAGATACTGCTGTCATGTCCTCAGAGACAGGTGTGTATGTGTGTGTATGTTTTTTAAGAACCGATTCTGTGGGGCTCTTTGGCTCAGTTAACTGAGAGTTCCTTGAATTTGTTTAACAAACATATGTGGGCACAGTGGATGCCTCATTAGTATTTTTACTTAAGCATGGATGCTTTTTACAGATTGTAACCGTTGAAAAGTTTATGTGCTTAAATCTCTAATGATAAGCATATTTCTTTTTCCCCCCCCTTTTCCCAGATCGCTACTAGAGGCTGCGAGACGTCAGAGATGACTTTACGACGGAACAGCCTGGGCCAGCTGGGTTTCCATGTCAACTTTGAGGGCATTGTGGCTGATGTGGAGCCCTTTGGCTTCGCCTGGAAGGCAGGGCTGAGACAGGGCAGCCGACTGGTGGAGATCTGCAAGGTGGCTGTTGCCACGCTCACTCACGAGCAGATGATTGACCTGCTGCGAACATCCGTCACTGTCAAAGTGGTCATAATCCAGCCGCATGACGACGGCACTCCTCGGAGGTAAATTCCCCCTGGCTTTTTTTACCTTTACTCTACCTCGAAAACCACTTCTGGCTGCAACATTTCAGACAAAGAGAAAAGCAGATCCTCACAGCAGGTGGAAATTACCTTGACATTTGCTCTCATGTTTCAGGTGATTAGCATAAGGCAATGCCTACAGTCCATACAGCCTGTTGAGGGTGTTCTCTGCTGATTTCTCTGGAGAGGACAGTGTCTTTTTGAGAGAGCTTCAGCAGGGCTTTGCAGTCACAGGCATGGACAGTCAGCATTTCTCACTAATGATAATGAGATGAGCTTTCTGATTAATAGCTGAGAAAGCTCACATTTGTAGATTGCTTTTTTCTAACCTTGTCCGACATTCTATTCAGCAATTAGGATGAGAGCGTTTGCCTTTTTAAGGACACACATCCGTCGGAAGAACAAAAAGCTACCATACTAGAAAGAGGGAAGCGGATTGCAAACAATCGTTAGGGATAAAGGAAGATGAGGGCCTTTGTAAAAAAAAAAAAAAGGTTGTTCTGAAAGCACATCCTCTTGTTTTGGCTGTGGGAGACAGACGGCGGGTGTGAAATCGCATCCGCCACTCTTTCACACTCACATTTTCGACATCTTTGTTTTGTTCCTGCTTCAGGCTGATGGATTTCTATACCAGAAAATGCTGGTTCCCCTGAAAACCACAGCCAAAAGCTTAGCAGGATGCAGAGACAATACCTTCATGTAATCCTATTCTCTACTAATGTTGGTTTTCTTAGATTATCATTCAAATGAAAAGAGTCAGTGCTTTTTTTCCCGACATGCAGACTATTTTTTTTATATTTCAACTTGTTAACTGGTAGTGTTTATCAGTGGAGAAGCTTCTTCAAGCTGGTGGTGAATTATTTTAAGATTGATTGCTGCTTTTTTGCTTTTTTAAAACAAATGCAATAATCGTAGCCTTTCTAGGTGTTCTCCATTAAACCAAGCTTAGTCAGTTGTGTGTTTTTTCCCTCCTGTCAAAGAGTTCATATTGACCATGCGTTTAATTGTCAACTTTACTCTCGCCTGGCAACAAAGAAACAACATCTTTGCTCTCCCAGATGGTAGGGTAGCATGCCTCATCTGTGAGTCTAGCAGAACAGCCTCTCTGGCAGAACCACCATCCAAATCCTCTTACCACAATCAGCAACGATACATGGTGATACAGTCGTAATCGCGGTTCCAGAGAGGAGAAAATTGACCAAAAAAAAACAGCGTCCAAAAACTGGTCTGGTGTTGTCAAAAGCCCATCCAGCTCCCAGAAAGCTGTGGTTACAGGATAAAGGATTTGCTGAAGGAAGCTGTCGACAAGCCGTCTGTGCCAGTGAAATTGATTTGACTTACAGCGCTGATATAGTTTATGACATTTTTTTGGAAATGTGCCACACATTGCACCTGAAGCTTAGCGCTGATCAGCATTGGCTGCTGCTCGGCCTGTAATGAGTATCATGATGCACAATGTTGAAGCCGTAGTGACCCATATATCACGTTTGCTGAGGCAGACACATCTGGCAGATTAGGAGGCATGATAAAGACCAAACTGATCAGTGATAAGATTTGCTCTAAGACTTGTCCATCCCAGCGCACCACCATTTTTCATAGTTGTCTCATGAGAACCACAACGCCCCATCATGAGTCCTATGAGCTTTCTGCTAAGACTCCAGCAAATCAGAAGGTGAGAGGTCAGGGGAAGAATCTCAAGTGCCCTCAAGTCACTTTGCTGCAGCGTCTTTGAGTTTCTAAAGTGGTGCAGTCAACAATAAGTGCTCCAGTTTCTTTGCTATTATCTCAAAGGAAAGGAATTCAGCTGGGCCCTGAAGGCCCAGTCAGTCCCCTGAGGCCAGAGAAATGGGGGGGTTTGTCAAGCAACAATGGACATGAGTCTCAGAGCCTCCATACAAAGTATCCTGGCCCCACACAGCTACTGTGACAGGGAGATGTGTTTTCATAAGCTCAGATAGGGGCTTTGCTTCCCCTTCACTGTTTTTGATTCTCACAATGTTGTTCAACCTCACCACCTCCCCAAATTTAGTGATTCCTCCGTTTTCATTGCAGACTGATGCGGTCACTTTGTTTTGTCACAGCTTATGTCTACAAAATGTTTCGCATAGAAAAACGAGCTCTGCCTAGCACTTTTTTTGGACGATATCCTAAAGCTGTTAATGCCCTAAACAGGTTTGCTAGCTCAGCCCTCGGCCAAAGGAGATATGCCTCTAATATTAGACTCACCGTGTACAGTATTTATTTAAACTGGGGGCCAGGATGTGGTTTTAGTTCAGTGCACTACCAGAGGCTTTTCCATCCTCACTCCTAGAAGCTTTAAACCAGTTCAGCATGTTAGCCGCAGATCAAACTAATGAGAAAAAGATGAAGAAGTTTAGCTCTTTGAAACGGGAATGTGATGTACAGAACACGGCATTGATTGTATGTTTTGGTATGTGGTCATCAGAGATGTAAGAATAAACAGAGGGATCAGTGCAGTTTAGACTGAAACAGGTTATTATAAGAAACACAAATGGTAACCAACCCAGACAGGCATGGGCAGGATTTCCCTCTGCTTGAGTCTGTTCTCATTGTTACAGCTTCTTTTTTTTTTTTTAAGAAAAAGAAGGAAATAATTAGCTTCTTCTAGATTTTGATCACAGACTTTTCTGTTTAAAACACTGGCATTCCCGACTTTGTATTTTACTCGGCCTGCACTGGCACACAGCTAATAATAATAATAATGAGTCTTTCCGGTGACATTCAAAAGTCACTTGTGACCCTGCTTTTGAAGTGTCATCCGACATGTCGTTATGGATTTTCCCCTGGACTAAAGAAAAGCCAGATTTCTCACTTCCCATGTCAACACCCTGCTAAACGGAGCCCTCCTAAAGCAGAATCCAGAGAACCTCACACACCTCACATAGCAATTAATCCCCACACATCCCTCACAGAAGCAGTTGTTTCTTCAGATTAATTTGCAAAGACATCGCGGTTATTGAACTTTTCAGTTGACCTTATTTAAGTTGTCAATGGTCTGACTGCCCGGTCAGGGTCCTAACCTCTGTAGCAAAGACTCTAATGGTGGGAATGGATTAGCTTGTCTCCCAGTCACTGGCCTGTCACTGCAGTGACAGCTCTTTGACTCAGGTCCAAGGTCCCGTTGCCACACTGATCCCTCATTACTCATTTAGAGCAATTGGAGGAAGAAGCTATTTGCTCACTTTCAACAGCCTCCTGAATTTTTTGAAAAAGATGAACAGCGATGGTCTGCTTGTTTTTTTATTTTATTTTTTTTTATTTTTGCTTGAATTTGTGGAGATTCTTTTCCCTTTTCTTGAAGCCTCTGTTGGACACTGAGACATATTGTAATCCAGCAGCAGTTCTTGTTGGAATCAAGAGGAAACAGACGGTATTATTTCTCACCAGTCTCTTGCTTCCTTCTCTCCTTATGGCTGGCTGGGTATGTCTAACACCATCTCCTCCACCACTAGCCTCCAGCTTGGCTTTAGCTGTTGACCAAACAACTATTTCCTGCTGTTCCACCATGATTTATACTTTGAGAGTGCGAACCCCCTATATATTACAAACAATCGCATTCCGCTCACATCAGGTCAGCACAAAGTCTGTTCCTGCTCCCAGCCGTGCTCGTAGTGGTACTGATGGGGAGTACAAAGCCCATAAAAGAAACTCATCCTGTCACTAGTCATTCTGATGTAAAAAAGCACAGCAAGAAACAGCAGCTGAGACCTTTGCTGTTGACAAGCTGTTACCCAGGCTTAGCCTTTACAAAGAGTAATGGCATGTGGCAACCAAGCTTGACCACACACACGTAGTTAATCAAGGTAATGAGTGGATTAGCAGCCCTGTTTGAAAACAATTGGCTGGCAGTCTGGGGGATTTAACACATCCTGAACAAAAAGTCATTTAAAGACCCCAGGTCATGCTATGGAAGAAATGGGATAAGGCTTCCATCTACTGAATCATCACTCCTGAAAGCAACCAGCCTCTCCATCCAACCAGACACATGCCTTTTTAGCTTGTAGGCAGCTCTGATCTCCGGATGTTGTAATTATTCCACAGACCAGTACGTAAGACCAGTGATTCATACACCACTCTGGACATCCAACCAATTAACACAGTGCACCAATGAATGTAGAGCATGTATTTGTTTTATCGTGGCAAAGGCCAGATTAGCAAAGACTGACTAAATTCGAGCCAGGGTGGAGGAGGAAACAGAGGATGATCTTCCAGTTGCATCCTGTAACATCTACCGCTCCAGTGGGAGGTCAGTTGTAAACAGACCAGCCACCCATGGCCTAGTTTGATGAAAGAGTTCCTCTGAGAGGGATTGCTCGCCCCCTTCGCCACAGCCTTTGCAATCAACCAGAGCACCCTCTTCAAGGCCAACTGTGTGTACATGTATGACCACAGCAAAGTATACAGAGCTTTCAATCCTCCAGTGGCTCCTAGAAAATGGACTTTGGAGGGGGAGGGCAGTGTAATCACTAGGGTCATGCTTGAGATAGTTTTCGAGAGCTAGCAGAGTGTCCAGGCTGTTTAACCCCGACCCACCACCCAGTAAACCCCCCACCCCCACCCCCCCACGACATACTCAACATGCCTCTGCCCAGTCCCAAAGATTAATGTAGCATGAAATGGCATCAATGGCCCTGTCCTTGTGTAGATCTTCAGTGTTTTTAGCAGTAATGGGATGGAGATTGAGGGACCAAAATCCTCCCGTGTGGAGCGACTCCTGTGGGAGACCAATATCCACTGAAGTGGCAAGCTGAGATTTTCAGCTCTTATTAAAATCCTCTGAATGCTTTTTTGCTTTTCTTAGTATCGCCAAGGTGCCTGTAAGGCCTCAGTGTGCACAATCAAATGTGTTTGCCCATGTTTGACATTTATTGTAAGCTTGCGGGCACGTGTGTTATCGCAGATGCTATCTCAGTGTCACCTCAGGCTAAATGCCGGTGACTACATTTGAGTGTTTTCCTGGAAGGATGTTATCTAAAAATGTGACATTGTAATTAGTTTAATGGGACACATCAAATCATTTGAATTTAAGGTGTTTTGTGGATTTACTAATGATTACATCATGCCATTATGACATGACTTATATATCCCTCAATGAATCATCTAATAAATTCATATTATGATGGATGGGATCTGCGCACCACTGAATTTTTTATAATGGTGATCTTATGATTACTGAATGTTGAATAATGTAACAGATAAATGACGTTAGTTGGATCAATACATTTTTTCTTTGCCCTTTGTAAAATACACTACATATTTTCATCAGGTCAAGAGTTGCGATGCGATTTACTGTCATGATATTGATACCTTAAATGAAAATCACAGGTGAACTCTAACCTTTCCCTCTCCCCCAGGGGCTGCTCTGAGCTCTACCGAATCCCAATGGTGGAGTACAAGGTTGACAGCGAGGGTACCCCCTGTGAGTACAAGACACCCTTCAGGAGAAACACCACCTGGCACCGGGTGCCCTCAGCTGCTGGAGCTCCTCTGTCCAGAGGCTCGCCCACTCAGGGTCCTGACCGTCTGCAGTGTCAGCAGATCCTCCAACAGCACCAGGCCGCCATCCCTCGGAGCACCTCATTCGATAGGAAACTGCCGGATGGATCAAGGTAAGCTCCTTTAATTGTCTCCACTGTCTTCCTCTCTCAGAGTGTGCTTTTGTCTTCTGTCACGTCATCAATAACTCAGTGCCTTCAGAAGCAGTGCATCCCTATGACATCACAGCATCCTGATAGCTTTTACAGATGATGTATAATTTCGGACCATGAGCACTTCCAAGCCTTTTTTTCCCTTTACATGTTATTGTGGTCCAGAATGGCTTTCTTTTCTTTCAGGGAATGAATGGTTTGAACATTTTAGTAAATCCTCAAGGGTTTCTTTTTTCTCACTTGGCTGGATGTTATTAAGAGGCCTTGTTATCCATAACTGTTATCCCGCGTGGAACATCTAAATCTCTTTGTTGACCATGACATATCTGATGGATTTGTTGTTTGTGCAGCCTAAGAAAGGCCTGTTTCACTTACTCTGAGAGCTCCCACATGCGGTGGGTTCACAGCAGCAGCTTCCGGACTTAAATGCCACTCTCAGAATGACCATAAGACGTTTTTAACCCATGAAAAACAATCAAGAAATATCCCTTAAGTGTCTGTTAGGTAGTTTTAGAGTTAATGTCCATCCATATCAGCACAGGAAATATATTTTCAGTACATAATATGGACAAAAATGGGTTTGTCATAAAACAGGTGAGCAATATTAGTTGTGCCTCATTCTAAATGTTTATGTTAGATTGCAGTGGAAGTGACGTGAAATGCACGGAAAACTAATGAATTATCAGAATAACGCGTTTAGGACATTTGTGGCGGTAAAACATATTTCCTAAAGGCTTTTCAGAAACATGTGATCAAACATGACCCTCGAGAGCCAATCTTTTCAGAAGAAATCTTTGAACCCCCGGCGTGCCTCATTTAGAGCCTAGGGAACACTTTGAGGTGCTGTTATTGTGCTATGATATTTGCATACATATAAATGGAGGATTTTAGTCAAATGAATTCAGAGCCTCGCTTTTATCTCCTTGTGGAGGATGCGGCCACACTCAGACTTTGTTCTAGTCCGAGCCTGTGTCTCCTTTGGACATCTCCATTGAGCCATGTAAAGCAGTGATTTGTTCATTCTAATGAAACCCCTACAGTCATGATAACCTTTCCAGTGTGTCACACCACCCCCCCCTGGTGTTCTGACTATACTGGGATAATGGCCGCCTTCTCTGTCTAATCAGGGTCTCGGCAGTGGGAGCACTCTATTTTTCCTCTCCTCTTTTTCTTATTCCCTTTGTATCCATGCAACCCTCCCTCTTCCTGCGCCCTGCTGAGGAGGAGGTGATAGGGACACGGACACGGCTCAGCTCATCTCATCCAATTACTGCAGAAACAAAGAGAATGCTCTTCCCTGGACCACAATATGTAGCACCCTGGAGGGAATGTTAGTACTAGAAGTAGAAGGAGTCAAGAAGGAGACAGGAGAATGTATTCCACACCAGCATATTCTGCACAACCTTAACAAACTTAATTGACCAAGTTATATGTTTAAATAGTTTTGCTAACTTTAAGTATAAGACTTCTCATCTTTTTCTTTCCTTTTTCATATTGGCTCTGAGAATTAGCAGCATTAATGCTATTGGTGTGAGGAGGCTTGGTGACGAGAAAACCATTGTGAGCAGATAAAAGCGTTGACTAATGGTATCACAAGGAATCAAATGTGTGCCTAAAGTGATGGGTAAATGGTTGAAATATGCAGCTCCTGCCACTCTAAATAATAGCATAATGAATGAAACCTTAACAGAGCAGACGCTCACATCAGCCAGGTGGCCTCGCTTAATTACTTGAGTTGCTCTGCCAGAGCTTTTGGAAGTGGGGACCACAGGTCTGTAGGATGTGTATGAATCTCCATAGCTGAGATAAAGCATTATTTCATCCACCCTTAAGAGTCAATCCAAACTCTGTATGATAAGAGATAGCTTTTATTAAGCAAAAACTCTATCCATGCACATTCTTCCAAAGCACAAGGAGTCATTCCCGACTTCAGAAATATTCATGTCACGGTAAAAAATGGGCAGCCATTTCTGTTCCATCACATTAAGAGTGTCTTTGCCCAGCTTTGGAGGATAAATGTTATGATCTATACACCTAATTGTGCTGCAATTTGTTTCTAGCAGCTTGGAGGTCCAAACATGGGAAAACTTTTGACAAAGGAGAAAGAATGTCTCATCTTCTGAATAGATTTTAATGTCCCTTAGGGGATAATTAACTAATTCACCTTTCTTTTGTATGTATCCATATATACTTAGAAGTTTGAAATAACACAATTATTTTTAGAAGATCCATTTCCATGATTTTTTCTTTTTGTTGCTTCGTGCTTGTGGCAAAGACTTGTGCGGGATTCTTATTATCATTATGTTTATCTCAAACCTACCTTGGGAAATAATTTTGATATAAACTCGAAGCAGTTGCATAAGCAAAACTGTAACCAAGAAATAACAAAATAAGGGTAGTGAATATCCAAATAGACTTGTCAGGAAACTTAACGTGGAAGCCATCCTTCCTGTGTTATTACAGTCATATTTTTGTCTGCTAATCTAACCTACATTGGAGTGCTGTTTGAGGACAAGGCCTCTGGACAGCAGATGCAGACCACATCCAGTGTTTGTTTGTCAATCTAGACCGCCTGTTTTTCCTATCCAGGCCAAAGTAAGCAAAGATTGTCAGGGTTGGTTGAGGGCATTGGTAGCACGTTGAGTATTCTGAGCTGTGATGGTGGCCGAATCTGTAGAACATAGAATATCGACTACATTTCATCAATAGGCTGCAATTGTTTAGTTAGAGTGTTTAGCAGTTCTTGGAATACAGAATCTCTCTCTGCCTTTACATGGCAAACACAGGTCCTCGCCATTTGGATTACACAGTGCATCTTATTTTCACTGCTAATCTCTTTTTCAGTTTTTCTTTGGAAAACTAGAAACCCTCTCCCACTCCTAAAATATCTGAGGAAATTACTAATGGTGCCAGGGGGTATTTTCTAATATGACACTAACTTAAAAAGAGAAGTCTAATGTAGCCATCATGAATTATCTTTAAAGCATAATAGGTTTGTACCAAAATTCAAAGAAAGGATCATTAACTTATCTCTAAAGTACCTAACTAACAAAAGTGACAAGTGTTAGATTATTGTGTCTTAGAAAAGTGAAGGCTCAACACTCCGCTGCCTTTTAATTCAAGAATCCTTTTACTGGCTGTTTGTTTAATAAGCCAAGCTACCAGAGATGCAAACTGGATGTCGTCTTAACAATTAAAAAATGACTCATTCAGTTTTCACTACCTCTGATTTGTGTTTATTTTTCTCTTCTGCAGGACCATGCAGGACATGGAGAATCCCCAGCTCACCTCATGTAACAAGGGAGACCAGCACTACCGCAGCTCCCCCAGTAACCAGTCCTCCTCCAGTGATCCAGGACCATGCGGCAGCAGCAACTGGTCCCAACAGCCCGGATATGATGGGTACAGGAGCAAATTAAAGGCTTTTTTTCCCAAAAGCCTCTAATTAGTTACAATGGGTCAGCAATCAATGCAGTTTAATGTTTTGATCAAAGGAAAACAAGAGCTACCTCTAATCAAAATGGACTTTGGTGAATTTGAACTTATGGTTTGAGCCATTATCTTTGCTCTGCTCAGAAGATCTGAAATGAGGAGTGCTTCAGTATCATTGGAAGTAATTATTAAGTAGTTTTCCTTGTCCTTCAATATCCCCTGCTGCAGTTAAAGTGATGCTTAAGAAGCCTACACTGCAATTTTGGAGAAAGCTGCCAGAGAGATTTTCTAAGGGACCACAAGAGACTTAATTCTGCACAGTTCAGGGGTGCTTGGCTTTGTATCCTCCCTCACTGTGAATCTTGCTGTGAATTTACTCCTCATTCGAGTCTAAAATACATCTGGTAATGTGTTTGTATACACAAAATGGATTGCAGGACAGGGCGTCCTGTAGGAAAAATGGTCCAGCTGTGAAGTATCTATCAGAACCCCACATATGTGACAAAACGGTAACAGACTTTGACAAGAGGCGTAGCTCCCCACCGCTGTTTTCCTGTCAGGGCCTTCAAAAGTGCACTGAACTCTTTAGGACCAGCAAGCCCTGTCAGAGCAGCCTCAATCCAGAACAACAGTCTAGCCATTTGATGGACTGGTAGAGTCTTTGTTAAAGATAACGAGACACTGTGGCCTCTGTTCATCTGTCGCAACCCTTATTAGCTCTTTAGATTTAATTAAGACCTGTATTGAAAAATCTGTTCCCTTTTTCTCTTTTGTCAAGAGCAAGAGAGTGCTTGGCATGTTGAGTAGAATGAAAAGAGGTTTCTTGCCTGTGTTGTCTGGCAGCTTCTTTATTCTATTATAAGCTCGAGTGATTTGACCTTAAAGCATCTCGAGCTAATTGCTGAACATCTGTGGTAGATCTATTGGAGCCTTTCTTCGACTGGAACACAGAGCTCACTCTATAGAAAGAAAATAATTTACAGCCTACTTTCCTGTTCTTTCTTGCTCCAGATGTCCCTCCCCCATCCTCCACGAACGGGCAGGGGACATACAGGGAGGCGATGGAGAGATCCGCAGGGAGAGGGAGCCCACTCTGGAGAGGACCAGGTCTGCAGGTGAGTCCGAGTCACTTTCATTCATGCAGGCATGATTCAAGAGCATGTAACGTCTGGAGGATATAATGTATTCAAGAGCAAGTAAGTCGGGGCTTTCATGATTTATGCTGTCTACTCACCTACCTCCTGTACTCTCATGGTTCCTCACAGAGACCAAATGGCACATCCCCTCCACCAAGATCCTGAACCCTCTGAAGCAGAGAGAAGGAGGAAAAGACTCCCCGAGCAAGCTGTCAAGGGTAAACATAGAAGCTTCTGTAGTATCATATCTTATGAGTTTAGAAGTAATCAACTTTCCGTTTTTTTTTTTGGAAAGAGTTTCTATATTTTGAAATCTCTGGTTTGATGCAGCAAATAGGACTGCGTTTGCTCTGCCCGTCTGCTTTATTTCTCATCTGCATTTGGATTTGGAAGCGGGGTTATATTGCCGTTGTTTATGGCCTCTACAGTAATCACGAGCTCAATTTGGCACGCAAATGTGGGATGATCATGTTGTCGCGCTCCCATCATCAGCATGGTGTTCTATCCCATCACCGTTTCTGGTTGCCTCAGATTTCATTGAAAAGATTGAATGTGTGAAGTCATAAAGCCTCTCACATCCTCCTTTTTTCATACTTCACACTCCCTTATTTGCGTTTTTTCTTGACACCCCCTTTTTCTCTTTATTCACACTGAAGGCTCTGCAATACATTCATCTCTCAGTTGCTGCTTTAAGCCGTCATTGCATTAACCCAGGCCCATGGATAAAAAATTAAACCATTCTCTTGGCACTGCATGTCCCTAATGCACAGAGCTTGTCTTGCAAACTGTTTTTGATGTGATGTGATTTTAGTTGCAGCTTAGATTTAGATGTTAAGAATAGCCTGATCAAATAAGCCTGCCAGGACAATCCTATGTAACTCATAGTTTATTTTGTTAGGTTAAGCTTTAACAGGCATCTATTTTCCCAGTCAACAAACTAATGACTTCTGCGTCACATGGCCCGAACACTGACGTCCAGTGGGACTGAATATTTGGCCACCTTATTGTGATTTTTAATTTTTTTTTTTTTGCTCTTTGATCAGAATAGAGGAATATGGTTGATGAAAGCATGAATCCTGCAATTTTGTGAATGACACTCACTTAGGGCCATCTGGCAGATCATGATTACCATCCTTCCTGTTTACTGCCATTTGATAGAATAATGTGTAACAGGTCTTACAAAAACAGCCGTTGCCTGGTCAGGCACAAATGAACATGGGATGCTGCCCAGTGGGTAAACTCCCCCCCCAACATCTGGTAGAACGGACAGGTTAAAACAACCATAAGAATTACTTGCAGTTGCCATTTAACACCCCTTTGATTTAATGTATTTCCTTCTCCTTCACTGGTTTTGTTCTTTCCCTGTCCCTCTCTCTGTTCCAGACGGGTGACAAAAACTCAAGCCACTCAAGTAGCAATACTCTTTCAAGCAACGCCTCCAGCAACAGCGACGATAAGCACTTTGGCTCTGGAGACCTGATGGACCCAGAGATGCTGGGCCTCACTTACATCAAAGGGGCTTCAACTGACAGCGGCATAGACACTAATCCCTGCGTGCCCCCCGGGGCCCGGGTGTTGCTGCAAAATCGGGTGGGGGAGCAGGGCCACCCCTGGGGCTCAGAGCACCATGAGGACGGAGTGCCAGAGGAAGATCATGGGAAACTTTACCTACAGCAGGGCTTCGCTTCAGCCATAATGTCTAGTCATGTAACGGAGGGCAGCATTGGGGACTTAAGCGAAATATCCTCCCATTCAAGGTACAGTCCAAAAAATATGTATTAATTATCCTTTTTTCCTTTTGTCAGCCAACATGTATGTTTTCAGTAATGTTATTAATGACTTCATACAATGGAACCTATTATCAAAAACATCACCTTTGAACATTTGATTATCAATGGAGATAAAGGAGTGCATTTTAGGGACTTGGAAGAGGTCATATCATCGATCACCAAAGCTGGTGGTCTGCATTTTTTGTGTCTATTGTGAATACTTTGTTCTGCTGTGCCTTTATTCTTGTCGGGTCAGTGAACTGATTTGCCTGCTTTGATATTCACACCCTTTTTCATGCTACATGGCTCGCAGCGAAATCCACTGTGCTGGAATACGAGGGTGTGCATTTGCACACCACCACTGCCAAACTGCTCGATCCATAATCTGCTTGGCATACGCACACACACACACACACACACACACACACGCACTAAAGCCAGGTCTGCGCTTGTTTACTGACCTCACCCCGTTGGCTCGCTGCCTGCCAGCCAACCTCCCAGCTCATCCAGCTGTGCTGAGGCCCGTGGGTGTAGCAGCTCTCAGGCCGAGGCAACACGGAGGGCTGCTCACCAAGTCCTTCTCAACAGACTGTGACCCATCTGGGAAAGGGAAAGGATGTCAGAGAGGGCTGGCCCTGCAGCCATTCACAGTCTGTCTTTATGAAATAGAAAAGTTTTTTTATGCCACACAGGGTTTTGTAACACAACCTGTTCTTATCACTGACCTGTTTTGAAGGGCATCAGATCCATCCAATCCAATCCATGGTATCATTCAGAACAAGACAGCATCATCGCCTTGACTACAGGGATTATTCCTACCTTTATGAAATCATTTTTGACACTGTAGAGTGAAGCAGCACGTTTGGCAGGGTGTGGCCCAGATGGTCATGAATATGGAACCGTTGAAGGCAGCACTTTAAGGCAAATTCTAATGTGTCGGGTATTTAGGAGACTGCTTTGCCTTTGCCAAGCATTCTGCAGGTGATTGTATAACAAGACCAAAATATCACATCGTTGTGGACTAATGCATTTCGTCTAAGTTTGAGCAGCTAATAGACTCATCCTAAACAGCCAGGACACATCAAACTCAAAATGTCCACCCTCATATTGATCATTTTAAATTAAAATTCAATTTCATACAAGATCCAGATCCACATTAAGTATATGAACTTTGCAGTAATTTTAAGTAAGCGCACTAATTGCAAAGTTATTGCTGCTTTTTAAAGTAACAGAAATATTATTTTCACAACTAATGAAGCATTCCTTTAACCATTTGGTCACGATTTCAAGGTTCAGTTCTCTCTTATAACAAACTTAAAAGCGTTCGCCAGCATACACAGTGGCATGCTCTTTCTTTACTTGTCACGCTTGGAGAGGCATAAATCAACAGAGGTCACAGCAGCAGATGTCTGAGAACCTGCATGGCACTGGGAGTAAGTGGTAAAAGACATGCCTCTTTGTGGTTTGAATGCGCTGACCCATAAATGCAGTTTGTCATCTGATATTTGACCAAATATTGAAAGGGCAAAGTTCAGATGGGATATGTACATGATAGACTGCCACTGAGTCATCTTTCAAAGTAGGGTAAAGGGGAACAAGCTGGAGCACACTGTTTACAGAGGAAATGATGTCATCCTGTTTGAGCCAACAGCCAAGTTCGCTATTCAAGAACCCTTTTGAGAAAAGCTCGTCCGATAGGATTTTTCCATACATCTGACCTAGTATTGCTTGCAATAGCTGTCATTTTCATTGTACAGTGAGACATGTTCATGTCTTTGTTATAATTTCCACTTCTTGCACATGTTGCTCTTGTATTTTGATTTTATTTCATTGTTTTGCTCATCTTTAAGTTACATTTTGCTTTGTTTTGTTTTTTTGCTGTCTGATCAGTGGCTCACACCACTCGGGCAGTCCCCTGGCCCGTGGTGCCAGGTACTGTATATCTGCTGACTCCTCCAAGGTGTACACCATCCCCCAGACCAGCAGCTCAGGTCCAGAGCCGGGGCCCGGGCCCGGGCCCAGCTCGGAGGCCTGTGGGCAGACACGCACACAGTCCAGTGGCAAACTGTCAGTGGACGTGAAGACGGCTGATGATGATGATGATGATGGTGATGATGATACCCACAGCACTGAGGGACCTCCCAACATTTCAGAGTGTGGGTGAGTGTGTGAGGGAAGAAAACAAAATGGAGCATGAATGAGATTGTGACCAAATCCGTACAACGTCACAAAACGCTCAACAGGATTAGCTCAGTCAGCTCCCAGCTCTTACAATTCATGCCATATTCATTACTAGCTATCATGCAAAGCTAGACGAGTCCCATTTTTAAATCATTTTCATGTCAACTTTGTTCAGATTTAACATAAGCATGCATCTCCAGTGGTCTGACAACAGAAACGAGCAGCAGCTGAGAGTGGCTATATATAAAGGTCTGACATCATAAAAGAGGACATTAGGCATGGTGGCATTATTTATTCCTGGCTCAATGTGTTGTTTGCCCAACATGTTTGAAGCCTGTGAACATGGGAGGACTCTGTATTAAATCAAAGTGTCAAACCCTTACTTCCTCACTTCAATTCCAACTTAATTGCTCCATAACAAATCAACTTCAGCGTTGCTATGAGCCAACAAAACTTTGCTTATTTCAAAATAAATCTTAGGGAGTTCATATGGATATCTGAGATAATGCATCTAATTCCAGCTATGTACTGTTTTGTTTCAATCTGGTCACCTGTGATTATATCAGCCAAGATGCATGTTAATACCAGGTGTGAACATTGCTCTGGCTGTAAAGCTGTATGCTCTCAGACATGCTGTCTAGCCCACCCAGAGTGCGTAAACTGGCCCTGATTGAAGCCGACAGCCACAAAATAAATAAGCTCAATGAAGCCGCTGACATAATACACTTGACACATGTCACATGCCGTTATTGATCGTTCCTCTGAAGTCAGATCCCCGTGGATTGGAAGGCTGAGCCTCTGACAGATCAGCATCTCTAGTGGGAGCCTAGCAACGATCCGAACAGCCACAGACTGCCGTCGCACATAGGACTAGATGCTGGAAATGTCGCCCAGGATGAGGGATCTGTTCAGCCGCTCATCAAAGCTGAGAAAGTGCACACTCCCTGGATGTTATGAGCAGTGATGACTGACCGTGTCAGTCTGCTGATTATGTGGCTCACTGTTGAGAAGTGTGTCTATGCGAGGATGTGATAGTATAAGGACGTTAGCGATCAACGCGGGTTCGTGTTTTGTAAGAGGGAACATGGGATTGGGAGAAACCCCCAGACACAGCTCTCAAGTGATTCTCTTTTAGTGGGAGGATTTGCTGTGTGATTGATCACATGCACTGAAGTCATCTTCTGCAACTTATGAAAAAGCTCTGCAATTCAATTACCTTCCTTATTGTTTGTTTTTTATATTCCTACCATTTTATTTCCTCTCACATAACAATGCCTTGTGATAAATGGCCTAATATTACTCACAGATATTGGTCTAACATAATGAAGTTTTTCCCCCCTCTGAAGTGGTTTCTCATTTGACGTAAAACTGTATGTGATGCAGGATGTGGGACAATTTTTCTAACTCTAAGCTCTTTTCTCTCTTGCTTCTGCTTCTTCCAGAGGAGCAGAGAGTTTGTTAGCCTTCCTCCTCAAAATGCTGTCTGAGCGTTCCAGGTACACTGTCAAAGTCAACCCTGTGGCCCCAATCTGACCCAGCCTGCTCCCTTACGTACTTCCCTAATACCTTTTTTGTTTTTGTCCAAGACCCCTCTCCTGTTTCATGGCAGAATCTTCGTGTGCTTGTCTTATCCCCTAACACGCTGAAGTGGAAGGCAACCAGTTGCTGTGACATTTCTGCTATATTTTCTACACATTACCCTCCTATGCTACCCTTTTACTAAATCTTTGGCTATATTTTTTTACCTGAGTGGTGAATGTGGAAGGATATGAGAAATTTTAAGCAAAAATTATATCTCTTTATAAACGTCTACATTCCTTCAAGAGTAGAGTGCAGATTTTGCCATGGAACCGAGCACGCACAGAAAGTAGTTTATTTTGATCTTCCTCCTGGATGCTGTTGTCATTATTAGCACATTTTCTATATCTGTCTGGGTATCTAAGGCTTGATTGCCACAGAGCCAAAAAGCTAAAACTAGTCCAATTCTCAGCAATGGTGTCTCTTGGTAACCATCAACCAGACTGTCCCATCATCTAGCCATCTAACAAATCTCCCTGTGGCCATCTAACACCCTGCCAACAGCACTCAGTGTGTCACGCTATGGCTGCTCACTTATAGCAGAAGTCTCACGGCTACATGACTCCACCAGCCAGGTCAGTCACATACTCTGTGCCCTGCGCCCCCCACTCCTCCCCAGACACTCAGACTGATTTAAATGTTTCCAAACAAATCCTGCTGACAACTAGTGCCAAGGAAACGCCTCCACCTCTAGTGGATACTTCTTGAATCCCTGCCGAAGCGCTCGCACATCTTCCTCTGTTGTGTTGGCACGCCTTTGGGTTTGTGATAATCCTTGGTCTGTGGTAACCCTTGTTGTATTTTTTAACCCCTCACTGTACTTGTCTGCATTGTGGTGTTTTAATACGCTGCTGTAGGCAAAGGTGACACAGAGAAATTAAGCTGTGCTCCCGGCGTCTTGTCCATCCTGCTGGCCCACGTTTACCTAAAAAGCATGGAGCACGGATGCCTCTGATGTGGGCATGCTAAGCTGGATCCTCCACACGGGCCCTTCGTGTTACTCTGCCAATATTCCCAAAGTAGCTGGGGCTACCTTTGAACCCAAGCTGTGATGGCCCCAAGGCCTCCCATGCAGGATGTGGTTCGTGTGACCCTAGTGATGAGCTGTACTCTTCTGTTCCCTCTGTGTCATCCACAGGCAGCTGTACGCGCAAGAAGCAGCCTGCCAGCTCCAGGCAGCTGAGCGAGACGGAAAATCACTGCAGCGACTTTCAAAAGAAGAATACCGTAAGATGATGCTGCCTGACAGCCCTCCAGGACAAGACAGGAGTCGGAAGGTGAGGTCATTTTGGTTGATTGAGTGATTGGCTGATTGATAACACGCAGGCACAATGGTGCACGTGTTATAAAGTCAAATAAGGAGAAAATATTCAAACTGTAAGACTTTACTCTTCAACATCTACACACAGGAAAAGTGTGAAATTCTAAAAGAAATTGAAATACTTAATTCAGGCATCACATACCTAAACTTAATTTCAGAGCTAGTTTAGGTAAGTATTTCGTATGACTGAAAATGTGCTCGACCAAATGTTCGAGCAGGATGTTAAGGGGTTAAAGTAACATCTGGTACTGTTATTACATGACAAACCCAAGGATATTGTTTCATGCTGACTAATGGGTGTAGGACCTACGGGACCGGAACCAGACCAGATCACTTTTCGAGGGTGTGAAAGCAAAAGCAGGAAATGGTCTGCTCCCTCTCAAACGGCACTGCTGCGGACCTCCGCAACCGATAGGCCTCTCTCACCAGACAAGACTTATTGTGTCCCCAGTGCCCAGTACAGTGTTTGTGTGATTTAATTTTTACTAAGAAACTAGAGTTTACTCAATTGAGATGTCATGGATTAGAGGGCAGTAAGTAGCAAAGAAAGCACCGATGTTTGATGTTCCTGGGTCATGCTGACTCTATTAATTGCATCTCCGGTCCCTCTTACCATCCCCCATCCATTACCTACCAGGAAGGGACCCTAGAGACGTAGAAATGGGTTATTTTTGGATGCTACTCAATTCTGATACAAATGCACTTCGCTCCCTTGGAGAAGCCCGCAATGTCCTCTGGCATAGGCAGGCCTTGTTTCTCACATGAATCAGCTCAGTGGACTGATTTGTTTGTCTTCTCGTTCTTCTCTTGGCTTGCAGTACAATAAGTGCACCACTTTCAAGAGAACCGGCAGCATTTGTGTCTGCCTAAAAATGAGAGCGGTACACACCGCCATTTGATTCTATTTTGTGTTCCCGCAGAGAAGGAAAGCTCAGAAACCCGTACAAAGGTGCCTGCTCCTGATTGTTTTACCCAGAGAGCTGTAATCACAGTCTCTGCTCTGATAATGCAGTGCATGGAAAAACAATCTAAGGGAGAGGTGCATTAGGGAGGGCACAGTGCCCAGCACTCCAGCCTTCCCACATGTGATCCCAAACAGCTCACACTGTTCTCCTGGACCGCACGTTTTCAGTCAGGAGTGGCTGACAAACGAATCAAGTTACACTAATAGCAATGCGGGGAACAATGTTGATTATTTTCCCATTCACATTGTTTAATCTTCTAAGTGATTAAACAGAGGGTATAGTGAAGGTAAATGTCCTGTTTGACTGCCACCCGATGCCAGTCTTTGTACGGGTGAGCAGGTGCACAGGGGCTTTCCTTGCCAGCCACAATGTCTGCTTGTCCGACCCTTTCACAGACGCAGGGCAATGTGTCGCTGACGTAAAGGAAAGGCAGTTCACAGCTAATTCTCCCACAACATTCCTCTTTTGAACCTCCTGTGGGAACAAAAAAAAAACCCCATCTGAATGGGTGGTTGTCTAACACATCCTCCCAAGTGGCACGTCAATGGGGTCCAGCGCCGGTTTGCTGTCTTTGTTCTGAGCCGCGAGGAGGAAAGTCAGGGAAATCAGGAAAAATCTAGGTAGATGTGACAGTGCTGGCACAGCTGATAAGAGTGCTACTGTTGGAAAGGAATTCGAAGACCCAAAACCCCAAATTAGAATGAGGCCGGCCAGCTGAGGTGAATTTAGAGACACAAGAAAAACTGATAATCCTAAAGGCTTTATCAAGATATTTCCTCAGTAGTGCTTATCAGCGGGTTCAGTGAAGCAGTGCCTGGATGTGCCTGCACTAATGCTTTGGATAGAAAGACCAATTTTTCAAAAAGCCCTATAGGAAATGGCAGCTCTTTTTCTTGTCGCTCCAATTTTGTGCTATTTTTGCTTCACGTAATACATCAGTAAGCTGTGTTTTAGGGAGGTTTCATGAGTGGGAACCTCATGGTGTCTAACCTTGTAGTCGAGCTGGAAAACTTGCAATAAGAGACAAATGTGTTAAGTTCAAGGAAGCAGTATAGGCATTTCTGTTTTAAAGACAGGCTTAATGTTTGTTACATTCTCACCGTGGGATTTGTGGGGGACCCGCCTTTGAAATTGAGAGGGCTGGGTGTTGGCCTGTGGGGATACCAGTCTAGTGTTGGTTACAGCTGAGAAGCCAAAGGCAGAAATTTACCCATCCGCGCAGCTGCTCCGCATATCATTTGTGGCCACTTTTGATGTCACTCCTGCTGTATTTATGTAAGCTAAATGGGACAATGATGGATGGGATTGGTCTTTGTGGTTTTGTGTGTTTAAACAGGGGATCATCTGTCAAAACTCTGGTCACAGTCGTGATTCACAAGTATCTCTGCAGGTCCTGTGCAATTCTTCTCTGTGCACAAAGGTTGTTCCTTTGTGACAATGCAAATTTTCAAGCCCTTGAAGCATTTGTAATTTCTCATTGTGATTTACTGTCTCCTGTGAAAGTAGCTCTTCTGTTAAATGAGCCCATTGAGTAGCTGACCTGACAACACATTTTTTTCTACAGCACCACTAATTACATTATTAACTGCTTGTGGATTCAATTTTAATGATTGCGTTGGCTGGATGGCACCTCCTTTTACATCAATCCATCCACACGGTTTTACTGCCAAGGCCACATTTTCCTACATCCATACTTTTTTTTTTATTCCATACATGAATTGCCAGGCACACACATGAGATACTGAAATGAGCAGCCACATACAGATCAATATGGCAGAATGAGGCCAACGATCTAATTGACCTTGATGCAAAAGTCTATGCAGTTTTCTATTATGGCATTTCCAGAGGTTAACCCACTGCGTTTACTCTGTCGTACCCATACTTGAATGGACAGCTTGCCGAGGGGATCTTTGCTCCATTAACAATGCATCATGTGACTTAATCAGGATTGCTGTTCATGGCGTTTCCTGATTTGGTAATGTGGATTGTTTGGTTGCTATGTAAAGTGTCTGCATGCATACATTTTGAAAGGTCTCGAAATGAGGAAGGACATAGAATTTAGGAAATTACTAAAATGTTAACCAGTCAAGACTTGTTTGCATGTGGTGAGGTATTAGATACGGGCAAAGGCATATTGATATGTCATATTGATAATCCCGTTTAGGAGGGCATGCCCTTGGTGTTTGTTATCATTATCTCTCAGGTTTGTCTGTCACCCCTTGTTTTTTTTCTCCTGCTGTCTGAAGCTTCTAACATTGAGCCCCATGGAGCCCCTGTTGTCCACCAGCTCTGTCCCCTGTTTTTTCTGCTGTCAGATGTTCTCCAGCTGAGCTCAATCATTTGCATTTTCTTGAGATGTTCTCCTTCTTAAACACTTATGGGAGGGGGGGGGGCAGTGTCTACAGGGAACGTTTCTTGGTAACTGGCGATCGTTCTCTACGACCATTTGGTGACCTAACACTTCCCCTCCACCTCAGGTGTCGGCGGTGGACAGCTTGTCGCCGAGGCGCTCCCTATACCGGACGCTGTCGGACGAGAGCGTGTGTAGCAACCGTAAAGCCTCATCTTATGCCAGCTCGCACAGCTCCGTGCTGGACCAAGCCATGCCCAACGACATCCTGTTCAGCACCACTCCACCTTACCACAGCACGCTGCCCCCCCGCATGGTCCACAACCAGGGAGCATCCAACCTGCGGAGTAAGTACAGGCAGGGGAAAGAGAAAAACACAGCTTCTGCTGTGCAATGGGAGAAACTGCAAGCACTACTTTGAACTGTCTTGTCAAAAAAGGAAGTTACATCATCAGGCACTGGATTATCTTTCCTCTTTTCTGGCGGGAGATAAGAGCCCGGATACAGTTACTTATTTGAAGCTCCACTTGTGACCCAGTGATATCATTAGCACAACTAAACAAACTATACTCGATATAGCAGCCTAATTGGAAACGGGTGAGGCTGCATGCCACTTTCAAGCTGCTCGGTCTGCATTAAGCAGACAGCTGTCACTGTTGGTGAGTATGCCTTTCTCTACCGTTCGTCCAGCTTCCTCAGGATTTACACCCGTAAATGAGAATTGTGATATGCCCTACCTGTGCTTGTGCAGGTCTTGAAGATCGTTGATGTAAACATGCCAGTTTTTTGCACCCGGCTTGTCACATTGACTGTCACACACAATGTTTTGTTCGCTCATCAGTCCCTGCCTGCCTACCCTCTCTGTCCCTCTTGTCTCATTTCCATACCGTACCTCACCTGTCTCCTGCTGCTCTTGTTAGATATAAAATGGGCTTTGGATGGATGTTTTTCTCTCTTGCCTCTTCTGACTGTCAACTTGATGGATTCCTGATTGTTTTGAAGGATAGTTGATACCACAGGCTGTCTCTCTTCCCCCCTTATTGAAACAGCCCAATTTGGCGAACAGTGAATCACCCGAGCTCCAAGAAGCTTGGTAAATTGAAAGGAGAATGTCAGCGTCACCTCAAGCTCTCTGTCTCTTCCCTGCCTCCCCACTCAAGCTTTTCTAAATGCCTCTCTGCAGAATGGGAGCTTGTTTAGTGCGTTCTGTGTCTGTCAGGGCTGAAAAGGAGGAAGGGTGAACAGAGGGAAGGGACAGGCGATATTGATTGAAACATGAAGGCATTCACTTAGACAAGTCATTTATCGCCCCTCAGACCGAGCCTCACAAGTGATTTTCTCAGAAGTTGGTTTAAAGTGACTTGAGCATATCAAGCTGTCACAAATATGCCAAACTTTTCTTTTTGAAAAGTGTGATTGTTTGCAGCCCCCTTGGAAGATTTTTGACAGGCATCCAGATCAGGCTTGCAGTTGTGTTCCTGATCCTTGACCGATATAGGTAGCTGTTTTTCATGTGCACAGGCCGAGGTTCCATCTGTTTGAGCAACAGTGAATAGTTTCAGTGAGCTCCCTGCTTTTCCCCTTCTTTGCCCCTTCATTCCTACCCAACTCCTCTCGTCTGACAACTGATGGCCAACTCAAAGATCAGGCCTGAACTAAACCCAGGCCAGGCTCAGATATTGATCTGAATGCCTGCCTGTCTCTGCAGGTGAGTTTTGGTTCTCTGACGGTTCCTTGGCGGACAGGTCCAAGTTCAGCGACCCGGGCCTCATGCCCCTCCCCGACACTGCCTCGGGCCTGGACTGGTCTCACCTGGTTGATGCAGCACGAGCCTTTGAAGGTAACCAGCTTGGCTAAAGCTGCTGGCACCTCGCGTTACCACAGCCCCCACCAGTGCCCCCCCCCCCCCCCCCCCCCCCCCCCCCCCCCCCCACCTCCCTGCTGCTTAGCGCCTTCCTGTTTGTGTGTTGGTAATTGACAAGTGCTCCCTGGCTTGCGCATGCGTAGGATTGTGTGAGCTTTGTGTTTTGTCCCTGAAATGCTTTGTTCTAATTGCTGGAGGAAGTGACTTTGGGAATCCCTCAGCTTTTTGCACCTCTGCTCCCAGCGCCTTTGTGGTCCCCATCAAGTACTGTTATCTGGAGAAATGGGCCATTCTTTCTCACCACAGAGATGGAGCCAATTTTCACACCATAAAACTCAAGTCAGCACTCAGGCAGAACTCTTACAGCCGTGCCTTTAACTAGCTTTTTTGAGTTGTTTCTTTTGGGTTATTAAAGCTCTTCTCTTAGCCTTTTGTCTCATCTGTTAAGTCTGACTGTAGTACACGGAAGAGTCTCAATTTATCTGTTTTACTCTCACTTTGAGAAGTAATCATAGGTTTTGGTGGAAATGGGGGTTCAGGAGAGATGCATTCACACTGATTTAAAATATAATTTATTATGGTGTAGTCACTGATAATGCTGTCAAAACTTTTTTTTTTTATTAGAGTCTAGGAACCTATCTGAGCTACTTAAGGGGACGACATCGCCATTAGTTCATTTTTTTTTCTCTGACCTAATTTAAGTAACCTTTTCCACCACTGTCATGCCAATGCATTTTCCATCTACCATGGAAGCGCTAACATGCCACTCAATGTTTATTTACTTGAACTCTATTTGAACTCGACCACTGAGGAGAAAACACAGCGAGCGATTATTCATTTGTCAAATCGTGACTTCCTCCTTTGATTCATTTCCTGCTGGAAGGCCTTGAGCCCATCATTTAGCAAGAATGGGATCAGCAGAGATGGGGAGGAATCTGAATGACAGCAGCAAGGCAGTTGTGACTGTAGTCTGTGTAAACTGGGGCCTTGTTGCTGAGCAGAAAGTGGCTCCAGGCTGCCACCATGCCATGTATGTTTAACCAGCTCTGCGTAGAGCTGGGGAAGCAAGAGGCTGATGGAAATGTAAAGCATGCATAATCTTGATCCTAAGAGACTGCTCATTTTTATTTCGTATGGTTATTTCTGTTGGCTTGCAGCACCAACAACAGGCAAAACCCCCCTGTTCTCTCTTGGCTTTAAAGTAAAAGCAAGGAATGAACAAAATAAAAACATTTCAGCAACAAAAAGGCTTTCAGCGCAGTGTCTAATACTTCTTTTAGAAAACCAATGTAACTGTTTTTGTTATTCCCTTAAAAAAAAATAATTTTGGCACATGGTCTCTGAGCTTTCTCCTCCCGGTAATCTTTTTTATATTTCTCACTCTCATCACTTTGTCCACTAAACGTGGACGTTGGGTCATGCAAAAATGGCAAGCTATATTCCTGTTCCCATCTTTGCCTTCTTAGACAGCTTTAATCTGTGCAAGGCAGCCATCAAATATGAGATAGATGTTTATTCATATGTAAATGAAGGCCTGCTCTCCCTTTACCTCTTCGCCCGAACAACCAGCTCCGGGCTCAACTTGCTTTTGTCTTGGAGTGGATTAGCTTTCATTTGGGGGATAAATTAATGGAAGGGCTTGCTTAATCTTTCTATGAATATGCAGATCCTCCTATCTTTGGTCTCAGACCAGGAGCTTGAGAGGGAATGGTTTCTAAAGAAAAGAGCATTACGTCCTAAAACTGAGCTGTCCCCAAAGCGTAACATGCCAAGTTTGGGTTTTCCATGCAGCTTTGACGAAGCTTAAGGGCCTGATATGGTAAAACAAGCATGACTGGTGTCTTACAGCTCCCTGGGATTCAGCCCATTTATGAGCCAACAGCTGTCAGAGGAAACTCAGAGAGCTTAGGGCTCTGGAGCAACACCCATGGGACTAGTTATATTTATAATTGTCTAGAAATGTCCTGTTACCTCCTTGTTCCTTATTGTCTGCTTACAGATCTCCCAGTCTGGGAGCACTGGCCTTGGTGGCTTTGCATCTATACTTAATGCAAAACCATCCATTCATTGATTTTTAGATTAATCACCCATTCTCTTGGAAACCCGTACATGCCACTCTGTTATCAGCTCCATTTCACCTGCACATTGACAAAATGATGTCAAAGGCAGATTTTGACCTTTGTGTCACATGTTCTGTCTCCAGACCAACGTGTGGCGTCTTTCTGCACAATGACGGACATGCAGAGGGCCGAGGCTCTGCAGATCTCAAGAGAGCTGACGAGGCGGGTGGTGGAGGCGGAGGGAGCAGCGCTGGAAGCAGAGTAGGCTTTACTTATAGCATGGCACAAAAGCACCCAAACTCAAAGATTTATTGTCGGTTAAATCAATCTGCTTCTAAAACAGTGAAATGTCCAGTCTCAGTTTAGCAACTGTTCAAGGCTTAGGACCCCTCTTTATGATGAAGAAGTAAGCAAAAATTTTTTAAAAAGATAAGTCCAGTACTTGAAATATTTGGAGTTTTCTTTTTTCAAATTTGATTTAAGCAAAGCCAAAACTCATAGAAAGCTTTGATTGATTTTTTTGATGACATGATTATCTGCCTATATCAGTTATAATTCAGCTATGTTGTCGAAAGATATATTATTAAGCAAATATGGAGCCTTAAACACAGTGCAGTGGTCCTGGTCATCAACCATCGACCGTCAGTCAGACCCCAGAATAACTTTTAAAATGCAAAACCAAATTGATAGTTACAGGCTGTACTGTCCTGCTGACAGTTGCACTTTACATATGTGGGATTATCAAACAAAATAATGTTTCCATTTTGCAGTTGAGTCGTCAGCTGTTTTTAGACCCAGATCTTGAAACATTTAGTTCATCTGTAATTTAAATCGGATAACATGTACAATTTATAGCCAACAGGATAAAGTTTTCTAAACAACCTCCAGCTGGTAGAGGCCAAACAAAGGCTTATGCTGGACTCATTTCCTGCTTACTGACGGTTAAATAAGAAGGTGGAAACTTTATGCTACACATCTACTTTAAAAGGACACTCTTATCTCACTGTGAACACATGTTTACAGTGTACTGACTGCTCTTATCCCCGATTTCAGTCACTTGCCTTCGAACCATCTATGTTCTAAATGTCAGAAATATGATAATATTAATCATTACTACAAAAATTACTATAAAAGTATGTTGTTGTTTACGTTTTGTCTTATTTGGGGGGCCTTACATTTACCGACTTTGTTTTTTTTTTTGTTTAAACCACCAGAAGCTCCCCATCCACACTTACCGGCAAAGTCAACCAACTGGAAGTGATTCTCAGGCAGCTGCAGCACGACCTCAGAAAGGCAAGTGTACATATATCACTAATTTCTCTATTAGGTTTTTGGCACCTCTCCGCTTTCCGTTTTAACGCTTGCAAACAGTGCCTGCCTGTGTCACGCAGCCCGACAATGAGTAATGGGTGCCCGGAGGTCTGCGTAACACAAACTCATCCACTTAATTCGATATCCTGCTCCCTTTCCCTATTTTGTCCCAGCCCGTTGCTTCCCCACCTCCGCTAATATGCTCAAAATGGGCAAGAGAGGAAATGCACTTTTATCGTATCAGAGGAAAAGCTCCTTTGCCATTTAAATGCCTCCCATGTACACCAGGCTGACGAAAGACGGATGTTCTCGTAATAGCAGGGCTTTTATCGGCCTCTTTTGTGTCCATTTTTTTCCCTCATGTCCTCATTTTTGTTTTGCATGTGTTCTTTTGTCTTCAGGAGAAAGAGGATAAGGCAATGTTACAGGAGGAGGTGCAACACCTGAGACAGGACAACATGCGACTGCAGGAGGAAAGCCAGACGGCAGCAGCTCAGCTCAGGAAGTTCACAGAATGGTTCTTTCACACCATTGACAAGAAACCCTGAAAGGAAGAGCTGTAAAAAAACAGAGGAAGAGGTAGAAGGTTCTCACTCCTCCTGGACACCCACTCAACTCCCACTTAAGCCTCCCATACGACCCACAAATGAATAAACTATAAAACCAACTGTAACAAAGAGTAATCAAGACTTTATTAGAAAAAAAACAACTTCTTTTTTTTGGAGACTGCTTTGCAACTCTGAGTGAGACACTTGAAAGCCCGAATGGGACCTTCGTTTTGGGATCCCTCTCTGTCTGATGTGTAGAGCTGTTTCGGGATTTTACTGGTCTCTTCTTATGGTCTCAAACAAATGCGTTTGGGAAACCACCTCTTCTCCAGTGCCCGGAGAAGCACTGAGAAAAGCAACCCCAGGATCCCCAGTACCTTGGATCTCCTTGCAGTAGTGGAATGTAAAGCTTATTTACTGTAGTCAACATTTAATCTACCTACGTAAATCACGTCAGTCTACTGTACTGTATGCTCAGCTGTACTGTATCATACTGCGCACACTGTCACACAGCTGTTTCTGTGCCGGCCTTTACGGACACAGCAAAGTCGAGAGGGGAGGAGGAGGGGGAGGAATGTATGAAGTGGTACTTACTGTCTGCTTGCACCGAGAGGAATCCACATGTGGTGGTCTTGTGGGGAGGGGAAATGAATGTAGCTCATCTGAGATCCGTTTTTTCTCTCTGGATTATTAGTTCCCAAAGTCACTGAAGTTTAAAGGTTTGATGTTTTGACATTTGGTTCCTGTAACATTTTCCACCATTTCCTTTCCTCCGTGTTGTAATGTAGGGTCACATGGCAGTAATTATGATGTTTCGAGGTGCTTTTCCCCCACACACACACACGTTTGTCAGTAGTTTCCATTCACTGTCACAATGTCCTAGCAATAACCAAGTGGTAGTAACATAACTGTGTTTCTTTAAAAAAAAAAATCTACAACTTAGCACAAACGTGAAGAGTTCCTTTTAAGAAACAGTTGTATTTGACATGTATTTATAAAGCTGGAGGAGACTGTGCCTAAAACTGGTTGTAAATGGATTGTTTGTCTGCTTTTAGTTCTCTTTTATAAACACATGCCTTGTCTGTGGCTCACTGATACAAAATCATGTATGTGAATGTGTGTGTGTTGGCGTGTGTGTAGATTAACAAAGCAAAATGAGTTCTTATGCAGTGGTTTCTAGAGCATTAGAGCAAGAGCCAGTGAACCACACTTACAATGCCAAATGTGTTTATTTCTGTACATAACTGCCACAGAAGTGTCTTGTATTTAACACTATTATTTAAGCTTATTTAACCTAAAGTTGTTTATTTTATTAAAGGTATTTGGGTTTTTTTCTGCACTAAGGAGAGATAAAGCTCTGTGTATGTTGTAAAGTGTGTAGCTTGCCAGGGCAAAGAATAAAAACCAACAAAACAAAAACAAAGTACAAACTATATATTTAAATATATAAATGATGATTTTGGTAATTCCAACATTTGGATGCTGCTAGATTAACAGTTTGCTGGTTTGTATGCGTTTAAAGATGTCTCTCCATTAATCGTCTCATCCCTGGTGGGATGTTTGTTGCTTTTTTGTTGAAGTTTTTTTCTTTCTTTCTTTTTTTTAAATAAATGTAGTTGTAAAAATAAGTTCTTTTTGTGCTTCTTAAAAATATTTCCTCAGCCAGTACTTAAATAACTGAAAGAAGTAAAGGGAAATTTAGCAAATGGAACATCTGAGTTGCTTTGGTTCTCGTGATATTTTCCACATCAAGGATTTAGGGGGTAATTTTCCTGAAATATCTTACAAAGTGTCTATTGTGGACATGAATGGAATATGACAACCAGCTAAAAGTTGGATGTTGCTCTTAAAAGCAGTTTTAGAGTAACATTTTAGGATTTGAAGTAATCATTTTATTATGAGTGTGTGTTCCTATTTATGTAAATGTCAGTGTGCAGGTGCTGAGCTGGGATTGGTTTTCCATTCCGGTGCGTACAGCAGGCAGGCTGCCGGAGAAAAACAGAGCGCTGATAAAGACCTGGAAATATGGCAGTGGCTGTTATTTCTTTCTCTTCTCCCAACGAGTCATACCTGTGCCCAAGAGTCAGATCACTATTTTCTGCCGTTCATGGAGAGTGTATTTATGGCTTCCTATTTTTGGTTTTTTAGACAAAGGAGGTAAATGTTTGTCTTTTACGTTTTCCTCTTTTTTTCTGGTTTGGTTATCTTTCTCCCCTCTGTCATAGCATGTGCACAGAATCATATTCTGCATTCAAACAGGCTGAGGCCAAATTGTAAAATTGTTTGAAGTCAGACAAATGGAAAAGCCATTCGAAAGTCATGGACACTCTATTATATTAAATGAAAGCCTGAGCAAAATGTAACTTGTACATCTGGACGGGAACTGTGAATGGTTCATGCACACATTGGTTTTAGAGCAATGCTCCCATCCAAATATTTCAGCAAGACAATGCCAAACCTGGCTTTATATGAGATGTGCAGAATATTGCATTTGTTTTCATTTTTACACTTTACATTTGGAGATTTTTGTTTTTAATATTAAGGATTTTATATTGGGTTGATACACAGCTTTAACTTGATCTTTGATTTCCCCTAAAGAAGGTATTGTATGTGGGAACTAACTTTCTTTGCCTGAGACCTCTTGTCTTTCCAGCACAGAAACAGCCCCCTGAGGGAACACTCCTGCTGGGATGTTTGCAGCCCCAGTGCCTGCTCGCCACACTGAGAGTTAATTTTGGACGGTACATTTTAGTCCTCGCAGGGTAGAAAAAGGAAAACAACCTTTTCCAGCAGGCATTTTTATCGCCTGTTTCGTAAACAGCAGGTGTGCTAAGACTTTCCAATTGAAACATGAAACTGTAATATGTTCAGGACTTGTCTCCCTGAGAGTTGATGGGTTTTAAATAAATGACAGATGTTGCTTCCACTGCAGGGACGGCAAAAGACTTGCTGAATAATTAATCATAAGCCTTTTTGGGTGGAGAGAAAAACAATTAAATTTGTTTGCTACTTCCTGCATAAACCTTCTGCCCAGCTGCTGAAGTGTGGTCCAATCTAGCTTACTCTCCAGAGGATGGTGGGTATGAATTTAGGGTAGGACTGCTGTTGTGACCATTATGCCCATCCCCCTTTCATTCTTTTTTTTCAATGTTTTTCCATTGTTTGAACCAGTTGTTTATGCTTTTTAATTATTTTCAATTTTTTACTAGTGCTGTGATGAGCGTTTAGAAAAAAGATGCCCAGTAACTTCCCAGCAAACATAAAATGCTCGGCCAACACTAGACTGGCCGTCTTATCATTGACGTAACAAGAATGATAAACATAAATAGTAAGTATCTCAACTTCAGGAGAATTCTAATCAGTTTTTCGAATAAAAGTTAGCTTTTTTAAGTTTGTTTTAGTTCTATGCTTTTTACACAATCTCTGGATTTTGCCAAAATACAACATTCCCAGGACATTTTAGAGAAGCTGACTGTGTTGCCCCAGCTAAATTAAATCTACTAAAAAAAAAAAAATTTTAAAGCAAAAGTAGCACCGGTATTGCTCAGACTGTGAAGTCAACATGAAATATTTTAAGCTTAAATAACCTAATTGTAAAGTTGTCGCAAGTTGGTTTTTGGCTTTGGATACAACGACTACATTGGGTTATGGTAAGCACTAATATGACTTAACAGGAAAGTTCTGCAAAGGTTACCACAATAAATTTTAAAAAGGCCGTATTTTTTTCTATGCGTTATGTCTGTGAGGGCCGGCTCTGTGTTTGGCCAGTGGCAGCACACAGTAATATGAGGTGGTTAATCTACATGTATGTGCGTGGTGCCAAGACAGCAGATGGGAGCTCACGCTGGCTCAAAGTGAAAGTGTTGCCTGTTTCAGATGAAGGAGGAGTCCGGGGTGTGTTGTGGACTTTGACAAGCACCTAAAGAAGGGTGCCAAGTCATTTTGGCATGGCGGAGATATGGAGAAAATACTGCTGGGCTGAGGCTGGGGCGAGCAGTTTGAAAACGTAAAAAGAGCTGCAGTGATAGATGCACGGGCCCAATCCAATAATATGTTGACAAGGTAAAATTACATTAGCCACACAAAATATGCTGACAAGCAGTAAAGTTAGACCAAACCCGATACGTTGACAGAATCGTGAAACCAGATGGTAAGAGCCCCCAGTTACAACAAACCATATTGATCTGTAATATTTGACGTGTCAGCGGTTAAATGAATAAATGCTGGCTTTTCTCTTTCATTCTGGAGGGACGGTGTTCTGCCACCGCACAGATTTGTTGCTCATCACTCATAATAGCATGTGACTGGAACGCAGTTGTCCAGCATCCACAATCCCACAGCAGATGCTCCCCTGCCGTGAGCTCCACCCTCATCCTGATCATATTACCCAGAATAGTGTTCAGCGTGTCTTAAGCACAGCTGCCACTGCACCAGGAAGGTTTTGGAGGGGTGAGGTTAGAGGGATTTTATCTATTGTGTGCACAGGCTATCCTGTGGCTAGTAAATGTCTAATATCACATATCAGCCTGGGCTATCAGTTTGCTCACAGATAAATTATTCAATCCTACTTCTAGTTTCTGGCATTGAACTGTGAAAACTATGAGACTTCAGGGAATTATTCCCATGTTTCTTTCAATTCATACAACTGTATGTGTGTAATCCTTGGCTCAACATCTTTAATGCATTTTTTTTCTCTTTTTTGTAGTTGCTTGAACACAGTATTGACCACCTCTCAGGCGTTAAACACAGCAGATGAGGGGAAAAAAAGGAGAAAAACTTGAAAGGTTCGCCTTTGGTCTCACCAAGCAGTTACCAAACCTGGACTGTGGTGTGTGCCCGCGGGGCGTAGCGGCAGGATTAGCTCTCTCACCTGGACTGTTTATCTGTGCAGCCCATCTCAACTCTTTGAAAATCGCTCTGACTCACTGGGGGGCTGCAGCTCACGCACAGCACAAGAGAAAGGAAGAGAGAGGAAATGGGGGAGAAAAAAAACAAGAGAGATCCTCCAAACCAGCGAGGAGTCACCCCTGTCCCTCATCTGCCCCCCCCCCCTCCCCACAGGCTGTCTCTGTGTCATTCAAGTCACAGGTGAGCACCCTCTCTGCGGAGCCGGGTGAGCGGCGACATCTTATAAGCCTTTTTGCCTGCCTGGTCTCAACAGAAATCACAAACGGTCAAATGGGACAAAAAATTGTTTTTCCAGAAAGGTCACTGCAGCTGAATAGCTTCAAACCTCACATCAAGCCCCCAAAAAAAAAAAAACCTGAACAAACCTAATGTGCAGCTGGTGTGAGAATAGACGGAAGGTTTGTGTCTTGTCGGCTTGGGTTTCTGTCGCTGGAAAATGAAACAAAGAGATAAGAAATAGAGAGAGAAACAAATAGATAAGACAGGGCAGTGGAATTCTCTTCTTGTGCCAAGATGTCCTTGTCTGCTGTCCTCTCAGACCTGTGTGTGTTCAGCCATCGATTTGCAATCGGCCGCTTCCAGCATGAGCAGCTGCAGTAGAGAGGAGGGATTCAAGGTGTGGGGCAGGTGGGAGAGTGGGTGGTGGTTGGAGGGAATGTAGATCCAGAAATGTGCTTTAACTCTGCATTTTTGCTCTTTTTTTTTTTTTTTTTGTAATTCAAGGTATTGATTATGCAAACTTTCATTAGTCTAGCCAGGCCCGTATAACTGAGTAGAGGGGTTGTCTCAGAGGATCGTGGGAATATTGATGTCTGGAGGCTGAATCGTAGGTGTAGGCATGGGGGTGTGTAGATCTGAATAACAAACAACCCTGGCGACCCATCATCAGCAGTAAAAACTTAACTGGAGAGGCAATCGATCCTCTGTGTGCAAGGTGTAGGAACAGACACACTGAAGGTCAAATGCAAAATGTGTTTGAGGCTTTATCATGGAGTGCGATGAGCTCCAACATGAGGACTCCAACATGAGCAGTGCCAGAATGCATTTTTTCACCCCTGCAGCTAACACACATTGTAAGATATACCTTACACCTAACTACAGCTAATTCCCAACATTTTGTATTTATTCAGGCAGCAAAAATGTCATCTATTGGAATCAATATGGGTCAAGTCCGAGGAAGGATTCAATCCATACACTTAACTTTCCCCGGCTCCCTCCCCCCCCCCATTCTACTCTCTCGATATGCGGGATCCTACAAAAACAGATGTCATTATTTTTCAAATGTGGAACAGATGTGAGAAGTAAGATAATGTCACGAAAGGTCATTCCCAGAATTACAGAGAAACTGTATTTCTCCCTTTTTCTATACTTTGCAGAATCTGTTAAGACAATTCATGCTGCACACTTGGAAAACGCAGCCAAGCAAACACCTCCTCTGCAGCTCCTTGACCTACATGTTGAAAGTTCTACTCCTTAATATGATTAAAATGATTCCAAAAACCCTCATAGCAAGTTTGGGGTTAACAAGCTCTCTTCATCCTAAGAGCATAACATTTAAGCAAATGAGAATGAATAAATACCTGATTAATTGCAGGTATTTTGCAATTAACTAATATAAACCAAAAATCCTCATTTCACAATTGGCTGACAAGCCAGTCAAACCAAACTCACAACGTATGTAGCGAATAAAGACTTTGGAGTTTGAAATCTGCTGTTGAGATAGTTTAAGTTGGGCCACTGCAGTTGTTTCTCATCAAAAACAGCTAAAGCTATGACTGAAGTTTCCCAGATATGTGCTTATATAACTGCCCTTCAGTAGAGCTGAGTTTACTTTTTTGTTCTAAGCTTTAGATGGTTTGGCTCCTATCTAAATCTTTTTCTTCTAACTCTTAACCCCCACTGAGCCTAATTGCTGCTTAGAATCCTCTGCTTGCAGTTTTGAAAAAAAAAAAAAAACGTTTTTACGAAGGGTTACTGAACCTTTTGGGGCCCCTCAGCTGCTTATCAGACAGACAAATACTTGTGACTTTCCTGCTCTCATTGACTTGATTGAAATGTTTTTTCTTGGCTTTACGCTGCTTTTGTCAGCACTTTCACCTCAAAGTAAGAAGGTTCCTAGTTCAAATCTTAGCTGCAGTCTTTTTTGAAGAGTTCTTATTTTCTCTATGTGCCTGTTTCTAATTTCAAACAGCACTTCCTCTGACAGTCCCAATGTGAGGTGAGCTAATGGCTCTGAAATAATCATTGGAATGATGGTGAGCTCATCTCCTCCATCACAGCGAACAAGAGGAAGCGGCTACATGAAATGGAGGTTTGTTTAATTCTTTTGACTGTTAACTTGTAATCTAACATTTGGGGGGTTTTTTCTTTCCACTTCTTAATTTTTTGTTTGGTTTTTGGAACTTTGTTAAGTTTTGTATGATATTTTGTCTGTTATTTGATAAGTTGTTCGTAGTTACTGGTCTCAGACCTCTCACATTACCCTGCCACCACCTGCCTTCCTTTTCTCATTAAGTCACCTGCACCCACTCATGTAATCGTTCCGTCTGTATTTACACTCATTGGTTTTCTTTGTTACTGGTCAGCTCCTCACCACCCACACGTTACAACCACATGGCATATTTGTTTAGAGCAACAGCTTTTGTGTATTTATGCTTGTTCTTGACTAGCTTACATTGAGGTCCTGGTCATAACAGCTGTTGGAATGGGCCTGACATACTTCTGTATGGATACATATTCTCTGTCTTCTTTCCTTGAGCAAATTCATACATGCATTTTAATCTAATCATTGAGTTATTTAATTTGATCTTTTTCATTTCAAAGGTTATCAAAGTAAAGTCTGAAAAAAATCTTAACAATGGGTATGCTGAAATCAATCAATATAGACAAAGAGACGTTCAGGCTACAAATAAAGGACAGATGAAAAGATGAAAAATCAAATTTATATCAAATTTCTTATCTCAGTGTTCTCTTATCTCACAGTTTTACAGTGAGGCCAATCAACGATCAGACTGTTTTCAACTTTATTCCACATTCCATACAAACAAAAGTTAATTAAAATAAGATTTTCTGCAGTTTAATAAGACATACAGACGGGAATATTTTGATTTGTGATTTTAATTAGTCTGCTAAATAGCAGGACCTCGTGCTCATTGGGAGCTATGCAGCAAAACACTGGGCGTATGTTTTTTTCCTGAATAGTTCATTAACCGGTTCAATAAGAACAAAGTAATGTTCACTTCCTGTGCTGCCAGGGACAGCTCGGTTTATGATGCGGGAATAAAACACCACTAGCACACTAAATTGTAATGATGGATCCGTTTGGTGGATTGCTCAGCTAAAATTTGCCACAAAAATAGCGAGCAGTTGTGGTCCATTTGATATGACTCCCACATGATTCCCATTCACAAGTTTTTAATCAGAACTGACGAGCTGTCCTTACACATGCCATTTAACTGCAGAGCAATTATACACACATATTGTAAAGGCTCTCTGACCTCTGTTATTTTGCATTGATTACTTCTACAGTAAATAATATACAACACAATGATGTTGGAAACATCGGCATGATTGGGCAATCTTTGGCCGAAATTTTATTTGAGGAAAACAAACCGCTCCTGTGAGCAGGTTGCTGACACATCTGGGTTTTGATCATATATTTTACCTAATGACTTCAATAGACATCCAGCACTCTTAATCAAACAGAATCTAATGATTTTTAGTTCGTGTTGCCAACATTACTTCACAGCTAGTCTTGCAATTGTTACAAAACATGAATCTATTATTTACGTTGCAACAGAATCCATGAAGCAGAAAGTTGCTGAATTTGAAATCTTCAGAATGTTGATGTCTGGAGCTACTGGCAGCTGAAAGGTTTGTGAAGTAGCCCAACACACATCGGCTTCTTCAGGCTTCTTCAGATCAACACATGTTCCTGCAGGTACATTATAATATCTGCTGTTTTTTTACTTGTTTTTTTTACTGCAGTTTTCAAGTAGGTCGAACTTGATAGCGAGGATAAGTAGACAGTAGAAATTAAACTAAAAACATATTAATGATTGTGTTTTTTTCTTTTGTAGCAAAGAAATGGTCTGTTTTGTAAAGATTTTACTAGATGTTTTATGATGTTTTAAAGCAGAGGATCAAGAGGTCACTTGGACACAGAGAAGAATGTTTTTTCCCACTCTTCCCAAATGCAGCCCTTATCAACAAAGCCAGGTGCAAGCAGGAATTCCTTCCATCATGTTTATCTGAGGAAAATCTAGCCTGAATATTTCCCGGCAGTATATCATTCACTGGTACATAGAAAACATTTTTTCTCTATTTTAGTTGCACCTGCTTTTCTACCATGTGCAGTTACTGTAATTGGGCCCTTTCTCATGCAGTCTCTAATCATCCACCTCAATCAACACACCATGTGACAAAGTCAATGGGCTGGGGAAAGGAGAAAGAGTGACATTAAATGCATGTGCAGGCCTTGTGGCAGCTCGTATGTCCACGAGCAGCTGAAGGAACTCAAACCACGGCAACATCTGCAAATAGCACGGTCAGGTTTCCGTCACACCACCAGAGAAGAGTTGTTGGATTCAGCGAAGGCCAAGGTGGACTCAAAGCTTACATTATATTAGTTACAGGACTCAAGTCTATCATTATGGATATCCAGACCTTTTTACCCAAAGACCAAATTTTTGGTTATAGTTGAATGCATGCTGAAAATTCTCCTGAATAATCAGAGCATGTGTGACTCAGCCATCCTCCTCTTGGCTGTTATACACAATAGAATAACGGTGATGTCATGGACCTTTTTTAAATTATTTAGTCGATTCAAAAAGGTCCAAAACAAATAATGTCCTCGTTTCCTGCCAATAATGTGTGTCCTACAGTACACCACTTGGAGAGATTAGAAACACTGAGTCAGTCGGTTTTAGATTTTTATTTTTTTTGGTTTGTGTTCTAATTTTCTCTGTTTTGGGGTTCTGGATTTTTGTTGTTTTTTGTGGTTTCTAATTTGAGTTATCCCACTTATCTGGCATTTTTGTTTCTTACATCTGGATTGAGTTTGTGGTGCTTTTTTGGTTGATAATGTCTTGCTTTAATGTTAATTAGTCTCCCATCCCATGTTTCTATGTTCTCTGTTTTTTGCCATTTTCATATATTGTGTCCTCAGAGTTTTTCCAGTCTGCTCATGGGCTCCATTCCCTTCACCTGTGTTAATTGTCTCAGCTTTTCTTTATTCATTAATCACTCATCTCTGATTTTAGGCTCCTTGGTTTCTTTCATTCTTTGTCAGCTCCTTCATCAGTTATTGTAAGTTCTCACTGTGTTTCCCTTGTCGATGTGTCTGTTGCTCCATCCTGTTCTCTGGGCTCCTTGTTTCCCTGGTTTCGTAGTTCCTGTTGTTACCTTGAGGTTGTGTGCTTTTAAGTATTTTAGTTTTTCCAGTTCATCTTTAGCTTTTTCTGAATACATTTTGTTTTCTTCCTTAGTTCACCACAGTTCATGTCTGTCCAACTCCTAAATCTTAAGCTCAGTTGGTTACAAGACTTCTGCTCTGATCTTTTTAAATTTGAAAGCTACACTCGAGAACTGCAATGTGTAATTCTCTTTATTTTTATTACCTCATAAATGTTAATCTTTATTTAACATCAGTTAAACATGCACATACTCTCATGTTTGGAGTTACAGCCTTTAGCCACAATGTACTTCACTCACTAATACACTTAGTCCTTGAATGAATAATTAAACCATTATTTTAGATTATAAAAAATGACTTGCAACTGTCAGAAAGCATTCGGTTATAAAGTACATATATCATAATTTGAGGAAAACATGGAAATAGCACACCCATAATGGTTAAATGACTTGTAAAGCTGTTTGCTGTGGCTCTGCGTTGTAATTTCTCTGCTGGCAAAGTGCTAAAGTTAGCACTCAAATCCCTTTTAAGTGAGTAAGCGCGGGAGTGAAAGAAAGCACTTAACAAAAGGCAAAGTCTCCTCCCATCACTCTTCACTCAAAGTCAATCTGGCACTCTGGCGACTCTAAGCATTATATAGGGATGAGACCAGACTTAAAGTCTGGCTGTTGATGGGAGCAAACCTCCGCCCTGTTCCTCCTCCCTTCACACCAAACACACAGCGCATAGGATCTAATGAACCAACCATCTGGCGCTTCAGCAGACCTGGGAGTCTGCCCTGCAGGGGCTCCACACTAAAATAAGTTCTCCAGTGGCTTTGCCACAAAAATACAAATTTACACTGCTAACGTGCGTCTGGCTTTAAAGTCAGCACAAAAAAAATCAGTATCGTCACAAAGTGAGAAGTCAAATTGTTTGTGCAGGAACTGACACATCAGATGTCTAATCAAGAGCTTGTGTTTGTCCATGCGTCACCGTTGAGTTAACATGTTTATGCCACTATACTATAAATACTTGTTTCTTCCACTGGTGTATAAAAAGGGCAGGTAACAGCAATATGTGCTTTCGCTGTAATAAAGCCCTGAAATGAATTTCTCTGTGTGCACAAAGGCAACGTGATGAGAGATCAAGATACGGGTGGCTGGAAGTTTGCACGTACAATAGCCATAATTCAGCACACAAAGGCAGCGCATTGTGTGGGGGAGACGTGAGCAATAGCAGAAATGAATAGCAACTGAAAGGTGTGAATGGCATCTCTCATTAAAAGCAAACATGCTGAGAGGCAAATAATCTTCAGATCTAGACTACCCGTGCTTATTTTAGTTGGACTTTCACACTGATTCCATGTCAAAGAGAGCTGTCAGCTGCACAATTACTGCACTGGGATTTTGTTTTTTTGTTTTTTTTTGGTCTAATGTCAGGGAGGAAAAAAAGACTTTTTGTCTTTTATCCTGCTGCCACAGTGCAAACAAACTCCTCCAAAGTGAGGTCTGTTGTAACGCCCTGAGCACAACTGATGCTGAGTTGCCACGGCGACAGAGGCGTGAAATGTGCCAAGTAGCCAGTCTGTACAGTATGAGTGGCCATTCTGTCTGATTCCTTTGTCTTTTGTCTGCTCAGAGAGGCATCGGTGCCTTGCCACAATATACAAATCAATTCAGTCTGACAAACATGATCATGTTATAAATTCCAGAAAAAAAAAAACAAGCTTCACAGGCTTTTCAGTGTTTTTTTTAATCAATTAACTATCATATATTGTTTTAACAGAAGTCTCTTTTTATTCAGCTGCTCCTGAGTATTTTTGATTGTGTGTTTGTGTGCGTGTGTGTGTCTGTTTTCCTTCTTAAAGCACCAGAGCAGTTGTGACTTTAATGAACTGCTTATTGTCTTTGTGTAAGTTCCTGCTGCTGATTAAATGCGGTCATGGTTACATGAGTTATCTTGACTTCTCGGTCCTTGCCAGCTGCTTCGCACAGAGCCTGAGCTCTTCCGTGCAGACCTATTAGCAAATTCTTCTGCGGGCTTAACGTCACCTCTGAGCAGAGGGAGTAGATGTGATTCCTAATTTTTGGGCATTTCTCCAAATCCTTCAGTAAGCTATACACCTTGGATAATCCTGGTTTAATTTCATTTGGCTATTTAACATTAGGTCATATCTTGATGTTTATTTAACAGAAGTTTTTTTTTATTGTGGTGCTTTCTTCATTTTAAGTACAAAGATTGAATACAAAGATTGAATAATTTTCTAATTTCGAGAGAAATTCTTGTCTATTGCTCTCGCAATTTGTATCATGGCAAATGTAGGGATTCAAGAGCAGCTCTTTCTTTACTGATCAGAACACTTTTGTTTTCAAAGATACATTTAGAAGATATGGTTGTATGTAGTTTGCTTTGGTCACTGAAAAGTACATGAGAATCAATAATTTTATGTCATAAAAGATGATTAATCTTTTTTATTTTACTATTTAATCCAGTTTTGTTTCAGCTTTAGACAGCTTACCTTATAAAAAGGACCAAATGGATTGTTAATTCATGTTGTCAATAACAACTTGAAATCATCCCTAACTTTGACCTTTGCCCTCAACAGCATGTGAGGTGTCCAAATGGCCTCTACTGATTGACAGTGAGGTAAATAGTTCAAAGAATGCGTTTCAAACCTAACAAAAGGGCATCATCCACTAAACACATCCAAGATGTGCCAAAGTGAGTCGTAATGCATCGCTGTGTTGATGTGTTACCCAGGCAACCAGCAAAATGGGCTCGGCTACAGTGATGTGGCGCTGTAAAAAGAAGGTTTTTTTGGCACAAACATCACACGTGTTCTGAATGGGGCAAACCAGAAAACAAGCTAAGTAGCTGCTGTTAATAGCTGTGCCGCTGAAATGTGAGAGCAGCATTGAACTTCTCTAACTGATTTCACACATGGCTGAGACCAATGAGTCGACATAATCCCTGAGTTGCAGAAACATGATATAATGAGGTTAGAAAAAAGCGGGCAGGAGGCCCATCCATAACTCCCTCAGTATTATTGTTAAGCATGGAGCACCAGGCCAGCTGAATGAGGCCAAAAGAAAGAGACTAACTCATGAAGACAGTTGTAGAGAGCAGTCGATGTTCTGTTGTGATTGAGCATCACAGGCACTTCTCCCCAGCCAAATCATAGAAAGATCCTGAAAGAGGAGGGGAGAGGAGCAAGGAGGGAGTGAACATTATATCTAAGACGGCAGATAGAAGGATGTGTTGGGGCTCTGAGCCACTTTGGAGTGATCGGTGGATGACTCTCTCTCCATCTTACTTTTTCTTTCTCTGTCTGTCTCTCTTTTTGCTCTTCATTCATCAAGGCAAGGCACAAAATCAGCTGACATTTGCTCAAATGCAGTGAACTCTGGTCTTGTCTGCTCTTGAACCAACAAAGAAAGACAAAGCACCAGTGAACCAATCATAGAATAACAGGGGAAGCAATTAAGCCACATTAGCCAGCGCTGATGTTATGTTCCTTGTGAGTCAATTTTCCCAAGTGCTCCTTCTGCTTATCTATAAAGTATGATAGACTCGAGATGCAGGATGTGCTTAGTCATAGTGAGCATGTATTGGTTTCTGCATTCAGCTCTCAGCTCCTATTGTTTATTTAGTGCAGATGTGCACAAAATACATTTTATAGTATATTAACATTTATTAAACAACATAATAAATCAACAGAATCTAGCATGTAAACATCTGTCAAGCATCAACACAGCAGCTGTGCTTATGAAGGTCTAAGATTATTTCAGCAGCAAAAAACGTTTTTAAGCGCAGATGAATGCAAGTGTTGGGATGTCTGTGAAACAGTAGTGGGATCCAAGCCAGCATGTAATTGTACAAGAAATTCTCCTTCCAAAAGAGGTATCTTTCCTGGTATGAATAGCTAAGAGGGACTGACAAGGGAGTAAAATTATGATAACTAATAGCCTTGTAAAACAAATTGAATCTCAAATATAAAAGCAGCCAGAGCAGATTCTGTTTATAGGATATGCTACAATCCGCCCAGACAGTACCGTAAGGAAGTAAAGACTGATAATCTGGAATGGAGTGAGGATTTGCATAATGTCAGGAGAGGACCGGCCCCCAGAGTCTAAATGTTGGTAAAGAGGCTGAGATAAGAGGCAGCGACTTCCGATGGGGCCCACAGGGCTCAAATAGGGGTGGAGATGGGAAGGACGTGGGCTGCGCAAAAGTTGATGAAGAGGGAGAATGACAGTGCAGAGGAGGGATTTAAGAAGGAGAAACTTACTGACTGGCTCAAGAAAACAGCAGACAAGAAGATCATTGGGGCAGAGCAGTTAATTATGAATTAGGTTAATTTTACCAAAGCAAGTTAGAACATCCCCAACCTCAGGGAATAGAGCCATTGCTATTGCCAAACCTATAAAAAAAACGGCACCTTTATTGGACGATGAAACATTTCATTATGGACACTTCTGAGCACGTGATAATCTTCATCCTGATATTGATGGTTTCCCTCAATGTTAGAATATTATAATGTAACTGTAGACAAAGATAACTGCGGCGACTAATCATTCAAAGACAGTCAATTAAACTTTTGAAAGTTCTGCAGGATTTTCAGGAAAATTATGAGAGAGAAACTGAGTCTGAAAAAGTTCTTGTGCTTCTCGACAACTCTGAAAACAGATAAAGTCTTGGGGATTTTCCACGATGATGTCATCAGTCCCGGTAAGCACGTTCCTGAACTTTCTGGAAACGTATGACATTATCTTGCTGACAGTGCATGTGTACAGTCAACCATTTTCAACAAGTTAACTATTTTCTATAAAAGGGATATGACCTATCCAGGCTTTGAAGTCCTGCAAATCTGCAGTTTCCATAAAATAGAAACAAACACTTAAACGTATACTTGCACGACACACAAAGGATAGCTATACCAGGACTGCTAACAATACCAAGCTTGATGATGCTGCAGCTGATAATGTCATATGTGTCACAGTATGAAGGAACAAAAATATTGTATTATTGCATAACTGTTATCTGTTTTTTTCTTTCCCTCTGTCAGATATGAAAACACAAATGGCAGAGAAGCCCCACAGGTACAGCGCATTCACCTTTATGTCACTTCTCATTTATAAGGCAAAGATAGACAAAAAAAAAGCTAAGAAAGAATATTTGGGAGAGTGAAAATGGCCCACGCTTTTTGGAGAATTGTAAAAAGCGCTCAAAGTCGGATGCTCTGTCTTGGATGGTACGATCCTGCATGGTGCACTCACCTTTATGTCACTTCCTATTTAGGTCAGTAAGGTTTTCACGTATCAGTGTAACAGGTCACCAGCCGTGAACAAACGGATCTCCTGATTCATCTAGCTGTGGGTATGTGGATGTGCATGAGTCTGCTGACTGCTGTGGGTTAGAACTCTACAGGCACAACACAAAAGGTGTGGCTCAAAATTTCTGCTGGAGCCCTGTAATTAGTGCTCCCAATCTATGCACGGACATGCTTCATAAAAATAAATTAGAGGGTTTTGTTTTTTTTAACACATAAGTTTCAAAATCCCTCTGAAGCGTGACAGTGACTTCAAACACAGAATTCAGTTGAACTATCTATGTATAGGTCAAGATTTTTTTTACAATTGTTATTGCTTCCAACCTAGTTTTGTTCCATAAGGTTGTTTAGCTGTGTAGAAAATAGCAAGGCCTGACATCACATGACCCAAAGGTCACAGGACATCTCACAAGGACTTTGGACGCTGTTGAACTCTCAACACACCAAATGGTTTGTTCTTTTTGTTTCTTCTATTTTTTTAAACATTGCTGTTTTGCCGGATAGCCGGATGAGATCCACAGTGACAGTGGGTGGGGGCTTGTTGAGGGCAATGACACCAAAAAACACACTTAACTACAGGGTTCCTTTTCGAATGGTCAGTGGGTTGTTGGTTATATAACATACTTCAGGCTAATGCCTTTTTTTTTGGCAGCCTACAATTCTGGGATGCCTTATGTGATTTCTTTTTTTTATCTCAGCTGCTCGCCAAGGCTATACGGCCTCCTGGTACACCAACAGCAGAATGGAGGTAGACTTCATTGTTTCAGCTCATTCGCAGCACGTCTGTGATGACAAGTGGACACAAATCTCCGTTCAATGTGTTACTGCTTAGCTTCATGTGCCTGTGCACATTTTCGGACCGAGGCACCTTACTTTGTCCCTACGGGATGATTACTGGTCAATTATTCCCATCTCACAAGTGCTAATTTGGCCACAAGCACTCATACACTGACATCAGCAGACTTTATAGTGGCAGTCCCAGAATCTTCAGGCACATTGTTCACAGGTAATGCGTTTTTTTTTTTACCTCACCCTCTCTCTCAGGATTCCTTTCTTTCCTTCTCTCAGTGATGAATGGTTATCTAGGGAGTATTCATGAATAGTGACATAGTGACATTGAACACTGCCCCTAGAAAATAAGATTAAAAAACTGCCCGGTGGTATGTTTGTTCCAAAGAACTTTATGTTCAGTGGGCCAATCACTATGCCGTGGGCCCAACCTTCCCTTTGTGTATACTCCTGGACAACTTACCACCCAGATGTGCCTGTCCCCCTGTGCCACCATTGAAAAACAAGATGACCACTACTCCTTTATCTCTGAAAAAAAGGGACAGATGGCCTCTGCAAACAGAGATGTAGAGCAACTCTTTGTTTCTTTTGCTCCAAGGGAGAGGCTACCCTGACATATTGGAAGGAAGTAAGGCCCCCTTAAAACACATAGAAATGTTCTCGTTTCATGCAGTGTGAAAGAAATAGGGGCCCTACCTGAAGAACTGCTGAATATTATTTCAAATCCAGAGGTCCCAGTACACGCTGAAGTACTAAAAGTGCAGGTAGATACTACATTTTAAAAGCATCTCTGCAATACAAATCACGATTAGTTTTATTTAATGTTTTTGTGTCGTCTTGTAATATATATATATACATACATTAACATATATATACATATATATTCAAACACATGTAAATGTATTTGTGGACAAAAACTACAGACAATTTCTTTTTTTTAAATGAAGACCCTTTAAATTACATTTGAATGGCTTATTTCAGAATGACTCATCCATTAAAATGGCTGGCATGTATTACAATTACTCTACATATGATATGATGCTACGCAGTTAATGAATATCCTTTCTATATTAATGTTATCTCAGCAGTACTTTGTACTTCTATATCATTCTCCGTGACTTATCAAGTCCTTCAAATTCAATTCATAATTTATTTTTCATACCAAAAAAAAACGAGAATTAGCTTCCCCATAAAGAATGTTTTCGAGATCTACCCTTAATTGGGTTACAACATTTGTTTTTCATAAATCCAATTTTGGGTGAAGGACAGCAGGCAGAAGGAGAGACTGTTATTTCTCATGCACTCCCACCTACGTGCTTTTTCCACCCACACAGATTTGACAGGTATAATCAGGTCATAAGTCAGTGGGTGCAAGGGCACACTCACACTAAAGTGAATGCAGGTTGTAGACTTCTGTATGCATGTAGGTCACAAAAACTTGAGCAACAGCGTGACATTGGATTAAGGATGCAGACACCTCCATAGGGACCCATCTACACGTTGATGCAGAGAGGGTGTAACTGAGTCTTCCTGTAAGAAAGCTAATCCTTCACAAGGACAGATTTAGCTGCTGCGGCTGATCAAGCTTTCATCTCCGTCCAGTGCTGATGTCACAGAGCCTGCTACCCCTACTAACAGAGTAATGCTAGGAGCAGGCAGCTTCACACCAGGGAATCAGCGCCGTGCTGCGGCTGGTGTTCCAAAAACTAGGTAATTGATTGATTAATGGGTGGAGATTTCACAGGGGTTTCCATTTTTTGCCAAACGTCAAAGAGCATCAGAAACATTTGGTGTAGGTCAGCGTCCTTGCTCAGGGACCCTCAAATACCAGCGGGGTGTGTTGGAGATGAAGAGGGGATCAGAAGCACCTTCAAAGCTCTGATCAGTTATCCCCTGCCCAAACCCCTTAAACCCCTCTCTTGTGCCTGTTGGGCCATCTGCGGACACCCTGCACACCACCCATAATTCCCCTTTAGGCTCTTCCCAAGCACAATTAGGTTAGCTCCTTAGCAGAGCAACATGTGGTATAGCAATAACATAAGGAATAGGCGTTGATGACTTGTGTGTGTTTGTGTGTATAGGGGGTTGTAGTGTTGAGTTAGTAACATGACCCTTTATCCTGTGTGCCAGTTGAAAAGACCACACTGTGATCAAAGTCTGTTTGATGATCCTATGGAGGTTGAATGGCAACTCCAAATAATTTATTTGGGGAAAAAAAATCAATGACTCTTACCACTTGTTAACAGCACCACCAAGAACAAAAGTATGCTCACATTTAGTAACTAACTAAAAGCTTTTTGTCCGGGAAGGCACCCTGGTGTTAAAGATGGCCATTTCCATTTGTTTTTAAAAAGGACCCTTATTGAGCTATCCATGGGAATCGTATGTACATTGATTCTGAACTGATTTTGCCCTAAAATGGCCGTCTCTTCAGCGTGCAATGAAGATTTTATCTGAATGATTTATGGATTTAAAATGGACTACAAAGATGGAGTCTAATTGGGATTAATAAACAAATTAGGAAATTTGGAATGGTCAAACGGTTAAATGTTAGTTAAAATCATGTTATCTCTACAAACTACAAATAGGCTCAGGCTGTGAGTGATCTTGTTTTTCATTCTGGGCTAATAACAATTATATATACGATTCGAAATGGTCAAATGTTGTGCAAAGTGAGGTGTGTGTGTGTGTGAGGGAGAATGACTTTTAAAGAGGTTTTCCACATGGGCTCTCAACATGAACTTCCTTTGAAAGCTACATGCACAGCTTGGTGCCATCAATTGTCAAAGATGGTGAAGTGATTAATTTCTTTGTTAGGTCATGGGCTGATTGGACAAGCCTTTGGGGAGAGTTGGATTGATTGGATGGTTCCTGTTTCTGTAGCGCTACAGCGGTTGTGATGGAAGAATTGGGGAGGATGTGTGTGTGTGTGTGTGTGTCTCTCTCCCTCAACTGCTCTCTCCCCTGAGATCATCTGCAAATTAATACAAATCAGAGCCCTCCTCTATGCCCAGGCCTTGTAACTCACCTTCCCCCAAGGTATGATAAAGGAGAGAGGACGGTGGAGCAGGTGCAGCCAAGTGCAGAGCAATCGAAAAAGAAATCATTGGAATATCAGCGAGTGAGTCCTTTGGTGCTTGAGAGACAATGCGTGTGTGTGCATGTGGGAGAGAGATCAGGGGGAGACAAAAAAAACTTCTTGCAAAGCCCTGGAAAAACCTAATGTTCCAGTTCTGACACCTGTGTTAATAAACATCTTCACTACTTCTTCGGGTAAAGAGCTGGACAGATGTTTGAATTTTTTAATCTTCAGCTGTCTCTTCGGTCAAACATACTTCTCATATTCATACAAATTGTTCTACACCTTGTTAAGCCATCGAAAATACTGAAACAGCTTGTAAACAGTACGCATGCCAAATCCAGTTCCTTCTCCAGTGAGCTAAGCGGATGAATTCCAGCTTATTCACTGTTTGTGCACTGGTTGTTATCTCAGGCGACACAAAGAGGGCAGCCACAGCGGAACAGTGGTGGTGACAGAGGGACCCCTTCTGGTCTGATACCCAGCACAGTCTGCACTAGTGTTTGAGCAGCGCACCCAAAACTCCCAGTGATGCCTTATGCAGTGACAGCTTTCTCTGGTTCTGGAGCAAGACCTTGAAAATGCCTCATTATCTTCAGCAACCTTACAGCGCTTACAAATTGTGTGTTTGGAATATATTGGGTTAATATGTAACTGTAAATGATGTGTGTCTAAAATGATATGAAGTGTGCACAGTGTTTTGTTATTAATAGTGCATGGGCAGCTCAAAGCTTTTATTCTAAAAGGAAAAATGAGGTTATTTAATAGCAGCTGTTTATTAGAGGTATTCTATAGTGATTGTATACGGTGAAGACTATATTTACTGTCTATTACTTCACATTGATTTACTTTCGGTGATCTGATATCTGACACTTCAGCCTCCCCACTGAGAGTATCAAGATTCATAAAGTAATTTAGGTCGTTCTTTGAAATCCATCTTTATTGATTAAAGCCTGTCTTTTGTCTCCCCTGTTGATGATCTTGACTGCTCAACAAAGATTTCATTTTAGTGGGCAGCGCAGCATTGATTGTCCTATTACATGACATTATTTGTATCCGCCCTGTGATCCTCCTCTTTTAATATACAAGAGCTGCACTGCAGTTAACTTCAGCGATCCATTTCTTCATTGTGTCTGTGATTAAAGGGATTTTATGTTTTTTTAAGCGTTTGACATTAGTCCTCAGGGGATGCTTATGATTGACAATATCATTTTATCTTCCTTCTCTCGTGCTGCTCGTCATCAGGGAGAGTACCTCAATAAAATAGGAAGATTTAGCTCACACCCAGCTCAGCTGTTTGAGGGCAGCCTTGGTAACCTTCTCTTCATGCTGCCCACAACGAGAGTTTAGCAGCCCATTGTCAGCTTGTCAAGGCTGATTTAAGTCCAGTCATGCTCTCCGTGATGATGCCAACTGTCACTAGTTGCACAGTCCAAGGGCCACAGCTCAGGGCCTCAGTGTTTTGCTGCTGTGCAGAGAGCATCTACTAATAATAAAACATATGAGCAGAAGGTTAAAATGAGCTTCTAGCGGTAATAACAGCGCTGTGATGTGAGCATCGTTGTCCCAGCTAATAGGCCTGCATGTGGCCTACAGGTTGATGATGGGTCGGCGGTGGATAACCAGCCTCCTGCAGCCATTTCGACCTAATTTGTTGCCAAATGTCATGAAGTTGGGCTAAAGGGAAAATGAATCACCAGCCTTTGGTAAGTCATGTTAAGCTTTTTTATACAAAAAGAAATAACATTCATAGGAAACATAGTTTTCTGCTAGTTTTCACCCTCATGTTAATTATGAACTCACATGGCAGGAAGCATGCACAAGCCATTTGTATGTTATTTATGCTGATATAAAAGGTCAAACCGGATTAATTAGCTCTTACATGGAGAAAAGCTGTTACCGGTGTATGTTCAGATTTAGATTTGTTGTATATTGAATCCAGCACTAAAATATTGTGACCCTACAGAATGCAGGAGAAAATAAATAACTAAGGTGACCAGCCAATACAAAGTGTCTTTAGCCATAATGATTTGAGTAATTGGCTAACGGACTTAAGTATAATTAACTGCAGCACTGAGACCTTTTCCAGTTGTTACTAAAGACGTATGAAGGACTTCTACCACAAACTTAAGAATAGATTTATGAATAGCTGGTGACCCACTTGTCTTGTAGCCCACATTTTTCCCCATTAGTTATCCAGTGCACAGAACTGGTGGACGAATTTTAATGGGCCCCAGGGCTGACAGTCAGCCCATCAGTTGCACATGTGGAGCTCATGCCGACAAGTTGGCCATTTCTACTAAACTGGTCTTTCAATGGGCATCCACTTCTGTCATTCATGGCACTTAAATGTAATCAGTGTATCAGCGACTAGAGCTCATTAGCTCTATAAGGCTTGATTAAACTCATCCTCATGGCGTATAACAGCGTTAACTCACTTAATAAGGTCTCTTGTATATAGGTCATTCCGTGTCTAGCTGTTTTTATGCAGTTTGGTGAAAGTGCTGTCTCACTGGAAAATGCAGAGGACTCAGGGCTACAAGTGGGTCGCCAAGGGACGCTTTCAGCTCCCTCATTCCTCTCCTCTTCTCCTTGTCTGTCATCAGCCACAGCCGAGTGCTTTTTTTATGGCTTGGCCTTTAGTGAAATGGTCCATTGTGCATCAGTCTATGAGCTTACAATCCCAAATGCCCCCCCCCCCCCCCCAACAGTGCATTGACCAGCGGCTTTTTAATTCAACACAATAAATATTTCAAAAGCAGCCTTCCGTTTAGGTTTTATTATTCAGAATGCTTTAAAGGTAAAAAATGGCCACGGTTGCTTTTATCTGAGACCAAATGAAAACTGGCTCCAAATCCTCCCTTGAGGCTATTTCCCCCCTGGAACCTGCATGTCCTCAGGGTGAAACACCACACTCTGGCTCTTTTCCCTCTTCACCACTAATCACCGCTAACTCTAATGCCTTCAGCAATTTCATAGATCAATAGAGTCGCCATTTTTAAACCCAGAGGCAAATCACCAAATGGGAAAAAGAGCAGCAGGTTTCTTTTTGCAAAATTGGAGCACCATATGTCTCTAAAAGGGTTTTTTGATAATAGTTTTCCCGACTACAAGCACACTGAAGACGAGAGGGATTGGCCATAATTTTGGACAGCAGGCATGCTGGTTAAGGCTTGGGCTGTTTTAACCCCCACCTTCACCGTCACTGTCTTACTTCCACAGAACTTCTATCTAGCAATAGTTACATACCTAATGAAGTGAGAGTGCGATCAATAATCTCATCTTACTCTGGCACAAACAGCAGTTCTGCAATAAACAAGGCGTGGGATTTGTGCCAAGAAGTCGTGTCAAGAAAACCCCAAGCAGCTTAGGCAACACTGAGCTGATATGCTGATGTGCTCTGACAGATGTGTCAGAGGGGACCTGCTGTCACTCTGGATGTTTCGGACCGTTCTCTGGGAAGCCAATAAAGTGGACAGAAGAGCAAGGATCCTTGGATGCTTAAAAAAAAGAGAGTGAGAGAAAGAAAACGCAGGAATCCTGTGTCTGAATAAATATCTAAAAACTGGCTCAGTACATGTCAGCGGAAAAATGATCATAAAGAAGAAACATATTGAATTTGTATGCTTGAGTTCCCTCGAGATTTTGCAGAGAATGTGTATTTATTGTTTGAAATTCGCAGTGGCACTTTAAATCTTTGTAGCACAGACAAAACCCTACAGACAATGGCTGGATCTGGAAGAATTAAAGGTCAGAGATGACCACGCCAGTCATATCCAGACCGTGGTCACACCGGGGGGGGGGCTGGCTCAAACAAGACAAGAGTTGTCTCAAGGATCCCCTCCTAGGAGACTATCGTGTATTTGTTGAGTGGAGACAATTAGACCATCTTTAATCCTCCATCTGCTTTTCATTGTAAATTTCCCATCAACAAGAAGATAGTCTGCACCAAAGCCTTTAATATCTGGTAACTGCAGTGGCAAGAAAAACCCTGACTGAGAGTGATGGAGCTAAATTAAGACTGTCAGCCATTTTTCCTATTCATTGCTCTCAACAACTCTTCGTTTTTTCCCCCCTGCACCTGCTTCCTCTCAGGTTCTCTCCCTCAATGCTGTCTCTCTCCATTTCTTCTCCTCTCTTCACTTTCAGGCGGAACTGAGCCACAGGCGCCTTGAAGCTTAATGTCTGCACATATTGCACACGTAACATCTTTCCAGTTCATTTCTCCACTAGTCCTGATGCCGTACACTTCAGTGAGATCAACAGCAGGAAGACATGAAGTTATGTGGCTGAAACAGCTGTGATCTGTTGTCTCATGGCTAACAGAGCAGAAACACACAGATGGGTCTAAATAGAAGATGCAGGCCCGCCTTGATGCTCTACAGCCCACTCGCTCTTCCTGAAGGAAGTCTTAAGGCATCAAGATGCAGCCGATGAAGAACTTGTCACATGCTGTCAGCATTTGACACAGTTTGTATGCTCAATGTTCAAAGCCACTATTTTGAAACTCACACCTTCGTCATACATTAAGTATAAATTAAGTGGTCTGAGTGCACTTGATACTTGTTCATACAAACCTGGCCACGTAACTGTCTGTGCCAAACATGAACATTCATCACATTTGTATAAAATGTCCGGTTTACCCTGAGCAGCATACAGAGCTTTCAAAGATTCATTATACTCGATATTGAGTTGCAGAGTATTTTATTAAACCAGTGTAACATTGTTTTTGCAACACTGCGTGGTGGTGTGGTAGTTTGCCCCCTCGCAGCCAGAGGGCTCCTGTTTTAAATCCCCAGGAACCATTAGTACGTCCCTGTGTATGCCTGTTTTCCCCTGGGAGGGAGAGTGAGTTGATGTCCGTCTCTGCATGACCCAGTGATGGACAGGTGACCCGTCACCCAATGTCAGCTGGGGTAGACTCCAGCTCCCCCAAGACCCTGACAGGGGTAAGCAGTATGGCAGATGGATTATTTTTTACTTCACTGATTTATTGAAGTGCAAGGGATGAAAAATAAATTAAAGTATTCACAAATCAAGCATAAAGTAATAACGGGAAGGTTTCCATCTAAGATATTAAACCAATGTGGACCTTATTGAAACCTGCATTCTAGTAAGTTGTGAATTGTTTTACTATGAACTTTTGTATCTTCAAAAATATTAGTACAATCAAGGAATCCATGTCAATGATTCCCTTTTGATTTATGTAACAAAAAAATTATTTGATCTGAACCACCCTTGAGTTGGTTCAGTCCGGCCCATTCAGCTCAACTGTAATCACTGTGTGAAAATAGGACTAGGGGAAATATAGAGGGTATGTTGCGTGATGCTGCCTGGCCTACCGCCAAAGGTGGAGCTGAGAGTCTAATTGTGCCGTTAATCAAATGCATTAGTTAATTTTGCGAGCTCACCCAACATTAGCTGCCTGGTTGGACCGCTTTTAGTAGTGAAGGTGATACGATTGTGAAGGAACTCAGTCAGAAAGCTCTGTGAAGTGTAACGTGGTTACTGACCGAGCTGCTCACTGACACATAACTGACCTTTTTCATGTTTTGTTTTTCTTTCCATCATTCATTAGTTTTGTCAAGTACAGAAAATGTAAGTTGTCAACAAATTCATGATAATGCTACAAGTATTTTAAAGGTTGCGGATTGCAGATAACTTGAATAAAGACATTGTAGGGTAGAATATCCATCTTATTAAGTTATTGTTATACAATTTTTTGTTGCCTAGTAACTATCATTTTCTGCAACCACACACCGTATATAAAATAAACCAGTGAAAATATCTTGTTAATACTTATTTGTTATGAAAGTAGGAGCTAGAATTGCTATGTGTTCATTACTTTTTCTGTTCCCCTCAGTCAAGATTCATACACGTGTGGTTAAAACTCCTATTATTAGTTGAATTTGTACTTTTTGTCGCTAATGCAGGCAGCCATGGCCACATCCATCTATTATGCACAATCAAAGGACGCTCTATTGTGGATTTTGTGAAGATAACGGATTTATGAACTATTCATGACTTTTCAACAAAGGATGTGTCAGGACAAGCCCAAGATATCTTTATAAATCAGTTTGTCATTAACTTATCATTAGCTCTATAATAGAATAGATTGCTAAGACCGATGCCTGTGTAGGTTTCTCATTTTTGATTTTCTGTTCAGATCTGACTCTTAATAACTGATTAAATTATGCTTTAATTGAAGTTATCAAGGTAACATTTTCTACATTTTTTATATCTGTATCATACCTACACTCAAGTGACCATTTTAGGAGGGACAATGTATTTTTGGAACAAAAAGTAATGTCAAGATAGTTTTAGAGCTTAAATTCAACACAGGAACAAATCCTCTGTTATTATTCTCTGATATTTTTCTCTAATCTCTGATCAAATTCATGTATATTTAATCTCCAGATCTTTTTGTGCCGACAAATGTGGAACCCATTGTTAACCAATTTGTGTAAAAACTGCAGCTGATGGATTAGTCTGCTGATTGTTCCTAAAATAACTGATTGTTTGGTGTGTAAAATTTAATAGCTGAATACTGTCCATTACAATTACCCACAACCTGAAATGAGTCCTTCACACAACTTGATTAATAAGATAATTAAAATGATTATCAGAGAAGTGGTTCATTTTCACATCGGTCAGACAGAGAGCACAACATGTTTCTTAGTTCTCGATGAAAAACAATTGATTTGGATGTACTATGTGCTTGGGGAGCATTTAAATATCCCTGTATCATGGAAGTAGAAAAAGTACAAGGATTCTATATAAAGCTAAGTTAGGTCAGCCACCCTGTCATGTTTGATTTCATCTTTGCATTAACTGTAACTCATTTATGGACCAGGAGATATCATCAACTTTAATCACTGGTTTAATGTCAGAATAACATCAAAATCTAAATGACTATTTCCCATTTGAGCTTTCAGAGAAAAAACTGAACAAAAAAAACTTCTTTTTTTTTTTGAGAAAACGTTTTCAAAATCAGAGTCTTGATTGGATAAAATTGGTGCCGAACAGACTTCAGATGTCAGTGATGACTTTGAACGCTGCACATTTACTTCCTGATGTTAGAACCAGGCTAATCTTGGTTCGGATGGATACCACAGAGCAAAAAAGAAGTCATGGTGGGTGCATGTACTGAAAATAAAGAGACCATCTGCTGAAATTTTCTGCTTGTCTAGAACAGACATGACATTTGCTGGTTCATTTAAGCTGTCAGTCACTTTAATTTGCCTTTTTTTTACCATCAAAATATTTAGTTACTCTTTTCAAAGTAATAGGCAGATTTT